ACATTTTTCACTACCCCTGGTGGGCGCGAACACAAGAGAATAAGCATTGCACCAGTTCCATCGACGAAAGTTGCAAGTAATGCTGGTGCCCTTTATTAATGCGATCGTAATTATACTTCTTTGTGCATAAATGCTACTTATGTGTATATGTGCCCTGAAAGAGGCTTTTTGTGTGGAGCCGCGCGGCGATGCTACTTTTGTGCTCTGATGAGAAAGTGCTTCTGTGCGCTGTTTATTCACTGGGCCCAAAATCCTCTCAAGCTATATATAATATTTCTCTCTCACACTCTTCCATAAGTGAAAAATTTTAAGGATAATATGCACCTGCCCCAACTTGCATAAAAATTAACCTTTTAACCAGGGACGTATTTATGAGAGTGCATTCTTTGAGTGTATAATTATATTAAAACATTTCTTTTCAAAGGGGTGTTCTATCCCTTTTTCATAAAAACAATTCTCTTGGAAGTAAAAAAAAAATGATAGGGAAAAGTTTAAACATATTTGTTGCAAATTTTGAAATTAAAAAAAAAAATTATACTTAAGAGTCGATATTTGGTTTTTGCGTGCGAGAAAAGTAAACGCAATAAATTCACGCCCGCGCGTGCTTGTTGAAAAGTCAATGTCGCTCCCTAATCAAAAATAAAACAAATGCGCGTCCTTGCTTCTGCTATGGCAAACAGATATCACAATCACTCTGTGTCACGTGTGAATTAAGGTCGCATGTCACTGCCAATATATTTAAACCAATAAGCACGAACTCTATGCAAATCACTCTAGCAACTGCATCTCTCCTATTTTTCAAATTCTATTCTATTAAATATATTACTATCTATTATTATATTTACTATTTATTATTATATATTACTATTTATTATTATATATTAATATCTATTATTATATATTACTATCTATTATTATATATTACTATTTATTATTATATATTGCTATTTATAATTATATATATTATTATTTATTATTATATATACTATCTATTATTATATAATGCTATCTATTATTATATGTTACTATCTATTATTATATATTACTATTTATTATTATATATACCATCTATTATTATATATTACTATTTATTATTATATATTACTATTTATAATTATATATATTATTATTTATAATTATATATATTATTATTTATTATTATATATACTATCTATTATTATATAATGCTATCTATTATTATATGTTACTATCTATTATTATATATTACTATTTATTATTATATATACCATCTATTATTATATATTACTATTTATTATTATATATACCATCTATTATTATATATTACTATATATTATTATCCATTATTATATATTACTATTTATTATTATATATTACTATCTATTATTATATATTACTATCTCCCCAGGAGCGCCGGCTCCCCAGGAGCGCCGGCTCCCCAGGAGCGCCGGCTCCCCAGGAGCGCCGGCTCCCCAGGAGCGCCGGCTCCCCAGGAGCGCCGGCTCCCCAGGAGCGCCGGCTCCCCAGGAGCGCCGGCTCCCCAGGAGCGCCGGCTCCCCAGGAGCGCCGGCTCCCCAGGAGCGCCGGCTCCCCAGGAGCGCCGGCTCCCCAGGAGCGCCGGCTCCCCAGGAGCGCCGGCTCCCCAGGAGCGCCGGCTCCTCAGGAGCTAACAACAAATTTGTAATAAATCCAGGCATCTGCGGCAACTATCTGATTGAGTTCAAGTTGCTCTGCCAGAGCTTCAGACCCAAAATTAAGGCATTATGCCGAATGCTTAACATAGAAAAACATAATTTAAATTATTTTTTTATTCCTATAACATGTTTTTCGTCATTGAAAAACGACAAATTATTTTATTTTTGCGTCTATTTAAATAAAAATAAACATAATTTACGAGGAAAATATAAAAGCATTATTTGCATAAAAAAATAGCAATTAATTTAATTTAAAAAAAATCAATTCTGTTTTCGCTCCGTCATCAAATATCAGTAGCCAGCTGAAGATTTTACTAAGAGATAATAATTCCCAGGGAGGTGCTTCGGTAAAAGATGAAATGATTTAATTTTTATTTATGTCAGTGCCCACGAATGTTCACAGTTGCGAGGGCAGTGTTTAAAATGTCGCCGTGAGCTTTTCTCCGAGCTGAGCAGCCGCGCGCACCAGAGGATATATTACACCGGCAAAGGTTCTCTGATAACAATTAAATCCAGCTTGTTTTTTTTTCTACGCGATCGTGCTTTGCCCAGCAGGGTAACTTTTTCAGCAGTGAGAGTGCTACTCGGTTTTCATTTCGGTTCCATTCCCACAGGCGACACTGAAATTGGTTGCTACCGATTGTCATTGCTGTTGGGAAAGTGCTTCTGAATAATCACATTCTGCTTTCGGCTGTTTATCTCACAAGCGCCGAGGGAACGAGGGGATTAACAAGCACGCCGGCATTTGCATATGGCCATTTATTAGCCCGATAATTATTGGTCTTTTATTAAATAACTGCTTTGGAATTGCAAGGTGTGGGTTTAGTTTAATCATACAAGAGTGGTGTGTGACGACTCAATATAACATATTGTTTATTCACTTCACGACATGCAAATTTCGAAATTGGAGATAATTTAATATTTTTGCGATACAATAAATTTCAATTTTCACTCTTTTTGTCTTGTAAGTTTCAGCAAAATTCTTGCCAAAGCCGTTTTATCCAGCAATTAATGCATTTTTCTCAATTATGCTTTCAAAAATTGAATGTAAACAATATGTGGATGAATTAATCGATATTAGAAGGTGGATTTGATAACAGATTCCTGTGCCACATACAAGAATCAATGTTAATTTCTGTGCCGACAACAATGGTTGCATGGTTTGTCCAATCCACTTTTCCATATCCTGAGAATATCAAATGAAGTACAATAATAAATAATAATGTTATAATTTAATTTATTAAATATGCCATTAATTTTATAAATCCCGCATAACTTATGAAACACATTAAAAATAATTTATTATACTTTTTAGAAAATTATACATGTTTAAATTTGATTTTTAACATTTTTTTTTTCAAATATATTATAATGGATCAAAACTCGCAAAATACGGAGTATTGATTTAAGAAATGTTTAATGTGCTAATTAGTAAAACAATAATAATTATAAATCATCAGAATCAACATTAGTATTAAGGTATTATGTTGAAAAATTTGTTATTTTTGCTTCTATATGCGTTCTCTCATTTATTCCAATATATGTTATTTAAAGATTATACAGAAAAATAAATATGACCAACTGTTACCAATTTTCAAGTCTCATCAGAGGTGCCTTATACATGGGCACTGGTTGGCACTTAAAATTATCATTCTTTCGAATTATAGAATCTTTATAAATAAAAAAATTCGCAAATTAAAATTAAAATTATAACAAAAAGTAAATAATGATTTTGCGTTCTTAGAAAAAATTATCTGATCACTTTACGCAGTTTTACTTTTCGATTCACTCAGTTTCCAGGGAGCAGGGCAGTGCCGTACAGCAAAAAAAATGAAATTTATTATTTTATTACGCAGGGGGTGCGATATGGGCGTGCCGCGTGGCCACACCCTTCACCCCTGGCGATTATTAATTCATAAAGGGCATGCATGCCACCCGCCGCGTATACTCTCTCGCACCGACACACACCCCCTTGAAATATTGATGTACGTGTGAAACAGACATATTCAATCATTCTTTTCATTTGATTATGGCGCAAAATGGGAAAACAAATAAAAATTATGCGCCAGCCGTTCCGACAAGCCACGCCATGGACTTCCGATAGTTATAAAAACGTGGTTGGTGCGATTGAATCTGTGGAGGTGATAAAAGTTAATAATAACAATTTAAAATCAATTATAATTTATTATCATTTAAAGTGACGTTTCCAAAATCAAATGACTTCACAATATATAATTATAAACATTTGACTGATTTTTAGATTTCTTATTTATTATTGCACTTAACGAAAAACTTTTTGGAATGAAAAGTCAATATCTATTTCTGAACAGATGTTGTTAATTGTATTACGATTTTTGTATGTTGTACACACGTGTTTAATAAAACATTTGATGAGGATGGATTGAAAAGTCAAACAAAGTAATTTTGTGCTTTTTTTATAAAAATTTGTAGATTAGCTAACAAATAACTAGAAAGCTTTTTATTTTAAAGATTTTATTAATTGATTATTATTACAATTTAAAACCTATTTAGCTCTAATTTTCAATTAGCACCAATGTATGGAAGAAAATAACATTTTATTAAACGTGCCAGAAGGAATAAAAGCGAAAACACTCATTATAAATGAAATCGAGATAGCGTGATGTAAGTAAAAGCGAGTGGAAAATGATGGCGTAAAATCCACCTGTTACCTGGAAGGCGAGCGGGCGAGACGCAGTTGGTCGGGAATCCTGCAGAGGTCCGTAGGGCCGAGGTCAACCGCCCGATGACCCTTTTCTCTAACAGCACACACCGCACCATCTATTTTCAGCTTCACCAAACCCGCTATATCATGGAAATTCATTTATAAATGGAAACATTTATAGAGTTTTACACACTCATGAGCGGATTGGAATCAAAAATAATAATAATAACAACTTAAGGCATTGAAGGAGACATATGAGAAAACATGTATAAAACCCTATGTATGATTTTCCGTTGATTTTTTAGTAATTAAATTTATGAAAAAATAAGACCTTCTCTTAAAATAATCATTTAGTTTTAAAAAAAATTATCATTTGATGTAGTTGCAAATATAAGAAAAAAAATTATTCTGAAAATTTTGACGTAAATGTTAAGTGAAACATCTAAATTTAAAAAAGATTTTGTGCACGCTTAAAGTACAGAAACTTATTATCTAACAAAAATAAAATTAACGCGCAGAGTCAAGTCCGTAGATCTTTAACATGTGTGCAGAGCGAGATGTGCGACAAAGATAGGGATCCTCCTCAAGGATGTCCCATTGGTTAATTTTGGGTGGTGGACCCGCAGTTAGGGGTGTGATGCGAGACACCGCAGTCGCTCTTCTCTCGCAGTTGCGTTTTCTACGCCGCTCAAAGTTGAGCGAAATTATTTGCCTATAGCAAAGTGCAGGTCGCGTCGTAAGGGAAAATGTCCAGCAACAGGGACTCTTTCAGCATCGCCCACCTGTTGGCCAGGCCGCAACCACCGGTGTGTCCAGCCGATTCGACCGGTCACCGACCTCTGCCGTTCCTGACCCAAGGTCATCTTGTGCAGACGAGGACCATGGTGCCCTTGGAGGACGCGCACGGCGTCGACTCGACGTCACCTGGGATCGGAGTAGATTCAGAAGGTTTGTTTTTGTATACAATTTTAATTTAGTTGATTAAGAATATTTGATTTTTTTTCTTATAATTAAGCCTTCTATATTATTTAACAAGTTCGATTCTTGTTTAGTTAAGTCACGAATAATTATAATTAAAAAATGAAAATAATCCAAAACCTTTCTCTCAATCATTTGCTTTTAATTGTAATTAAAAGAAAAAAATGCAGGCACAGTCATATGGTTCTAAAAGCAGATAAATGAAAATAAAAATTTAAAAGTAATAATCAAGGCAGATTTTAGAATTAAAAACATTAAAAATGATTTTTTTTTTCAAGAATCCAAGAAGCCTTTTGGTTTTTAGCAATTTTTACTGGTTTCCATCATTTTTATTCATAATTATGAGGTTAATTTTTACACCATAAATATTTAATTACAAAGTAAAATAAAAATGAAGCCTTTTCTGCATATTTTTGTGCTTGCAATAAACTTAAAATTTAGGATTGGAACTTAAATAAGTGTCATGCGTAGGCTTAACATTCATCTCTCGTTTTCCTCTTTCACCCGGGGTGAAAATACATTGTGACATTGTGAGAGAAACTGTTTTGACACACCTCACTCACTTAGCGCTTAAGGGGCATCATTAGGGGTTGGCACACGCCTTCTGTCTCCACATAATTACCGAGAAATATTTTTAAAAGTGGAGCAATTTCACGCTTTACAAAGATGGCTAGAAAAATGTATGAAATTCTCTTTCACAGTCAAATTTTTAAATAACTGACTTTTTCCTTAAACCAAAAACAATAATATGATTTTTAACATTTTTTAATTGGACCGAAAAAATACAGAATAAAATTTGTCGTGACTTAATTGAAATTTAATTTTCCCAGGCTTATTAGCTCTGCTTTGATCTCTTGAATAATTAAATAATTACTTATTAATTTGCGCATCCAATAATCACACGATGACAAATCGGTCAACAATATTGTTCAAGCTGCGTGCAATTGGCGTCGATGGCAAAATTTAGCAACGCCAACAAATGAATATATATAATTAACATCTCGAACGGTCGCCTCTGCAGGAATCTTAATTAGTAAGTGCTAATTGCATTACTAATCTTAATTGCGCGAATACTAATTAAAACGAGCACCAACTGTTTGTCGCTTCTTGATCGAGAGAGAGTTTGTTGGACGCTCGCACGTGCCGAGATGGACCAAGATTTCTTTTGATCTGGTGCCATGCAAAGAACAAAACGCGAAGACGATTCTCGCGGATCGTCAGATTTCATTTGAGGTATACGAGCGGATGTCGCTTAGCCTATAATTAATTACAAGCAGTAAAGCAGCAAGGAAACGGGAAAAATATTAAGCAAATAATTTCATCTAACACAAAACTAGTATTAAATGTATGAAAAAAATATCAATTTGTGATAAAAATTTAACACATTTAACATTTTAAAATGATATATCATGTTTTTAAAAAATATATTTATTGTAAATTATAAAAAATTTACATTTTAATCATATTTTGCACATCATTGCAAATATTATTTATTTTATTATTTTTTTTAATTAACAATTTATAATAAAATATAAATTACCAGATTTGTATAAAAAGCACTTTAGCACTGCATTAATTCATGTCCTACATGGAACATACTCTTCTTTTGATGTGTTGAAAATTAATTTGTCATTATGTGTATAACTCAATTTCATATATTTTTTTCCCTATATTAATGTTTATCCCTCTTGAGAGAGGCACCAGCGGCAGCACACATGCCTGCTTAATCGCACCTTAAAAAGCATTGAAACGTTTAGAAATGTAACTCCTGAAAAAATACGAATTAGACTTGATTCTGCCACACTTTGATTACTGCGACATTGTTTACTGTAACTTAACTGCCGCGCAAATTAATAAACTGCAAGTACTGCAAAATCATTTAATTAGGTAAATTTTCGATGTTAAGAAAGGCCAAAATTTATCGCCCCTGTATAAAAAATGCGAAATTCTGAAAATTGCGGATAGAATAAATTAAAAATGTTATTGCAAACACACAAAATTCTGTATAAAAATTGCCCAGAGTATTTGAACGTTTATGTAACAACAATGTACGACGTTAACTTGCTTGGGCGCACAAGAGCGCATCGAATGAAACTGCTCGCACCGTTTGTTAGCGTGGAGGTGCCGGAAAACTGTTTTCAAGTACAATGTTATAGGCTCTGGAATGCATTACCGTCAAATCTGTGTTTAAATGAAAATGTTAATTTTTTCAAAGCAGTTCTGAAAAAACAGTATCTTGAGCAATATTAATGTTTTCTTTCTCCCTTGTTTTAAAATTTTCGTTTCTTTGTCATTATATTTGGATGAGTTCATGTATATGGGGCATAGTTGCCCTCATTTGAACCCAATAAACATTCATTTGAAACTAAACTATAAATTACAAGATATTTTCTATCAAAAGCAGTTTAGCACTGCATTAATTCGTGTCCTACATGGAACTTGTTCTTCTTTGGGTTCATTGTGAATTAATTTGTCATTATGTGTATAACTCAATTTCATATAATACATATCATTTAATTTTCATTCATTTGTTCCTAAAAATTTAACAAATTTAATGCAATTTTTACATAAAAAAGATCCATAAGATTTTTCGAACATTTAAAATCATGGTCGATTTAATTGTGACCCGTGATGTGAGAAAATTAATTACCAATTCGGAAAGAGCACTGGCCGCGATTCGCTGTTTAGGGGCCATAAATCGCACGCTAATTAATCTAATTAGGTGTGCTATTATTGGAGAGTTAAGGGGCGAGCTAACACGGATAATTACAAAATTTTAAACGAGAGACGAGTGACGGACGAACACAAGCATTTAAGCTGGGCGTATCGTTAGCTGAGTAAACGCGAGCGTGCCAAGAAGTTTGAAGGGACGCGATGAGAGCTATGAATCACGGGCTAATTGCTCATCCTGCCGCGAGACCATCCACTGCGCGCGAGAGAGTGACAAACGGCGTGAAATGATCGCTGCCTGCGCCCGCTAATTCTTATAAATAATGTCGGCTGCGTGTTGCGCGCCGCTGAAAAAACCGCCCTCAAAGAGATTCCGCCTAGAGAAAACTTCACTTGCTGCTGCAAAGTGTAAATCAGCTCGGCATTCCGAACTGAATTTTATTTTCGAATCGGCTCGGAATCTTTGTTGTTATCTCCAATTAGTCCGAGTGGAATTCAAAACTTTTTCAGACGCGAGCTCCTTTCTCCTTTGACTCGGTGAATGTGAATAGAGTTAATTGGGGTGCTTCTCTTTTACTAATGCGTTCGCCCCAAACACTCTGCTCTAATTATATTAACGGATATAATAGAGTCTGCTTTACAATTTACTGTGAAAATCACGACTTTAAAAAAAAAATCACAATTTTTAAAACACTATAAATTTATATTATACGTTAAAATTAATTATTGTTCTCAACATGAGATACCATAATTTTGTCGAAAGGCTCGCTACTTTTGAAAATTTTCTAGGGTGGTTCAGAAGGTCTATTAAATTTTCGATCCCAATTTCATTATTGAGTTAATTTTTTTGGACAATCACCACATAATGTATTATGTAAAAATTAAAAAATGCAAATCAGACAATCACGGTCCTGGTGCATTACTTTCACTTCTCCAAATTAATGCAAATTACGTGAGATTTTATAATTGACCCTTTGAGATTTGATAATAGGCTAATAGCAATTTGCTGAATTTATTATTCAGTTTATTGCATAGAGCCTCTATAATTTTAAAAATACAGCCATAAGCTTTATTTTTCCCTCATTATTGAGTAAAGTAATCGTCATTAAATATTTTAATGTGAGTTTGGAAGAATATGTTAGAAATCCTGAACTCTGGCAAATGGAGCAGGGCACTGTTATAAAAATTTTGAATTTATGCTTTCAATTTGAAAAGAAATATTGATAAAGCACTATTCTTATGGTGTTAATAAAAAAAATTGCCTTTTTCCAAAGCTATAAAAAAAAATTATTTTCCTATCAATGATTTTCTCAGGAATACGTGAGTCTATAATTTCTTAATTTTACCCAATTAATCCAATTAAAAAAAATTTATAAGAAATTCATGCGATTTCTTCTCAATGATAGGTTTTCTAGTTTTCGTTTACGAATTATAATTTTTGGAAGGAGGTATCTCGATTTGGGCATAGATGCACCAACAAAAGTAGAAATAAAGTTATTAGCAGATATTAATAATTTTTTTTTAGGAAACTTTTAATTTTTACTTATTTTATTTGATAAGTATTATTGTGTTGATTATTTTAAGATTAGTATTTTTTTAAATTTTTTTATATTATTGCTCAAAATGTATCTCTCAAGGCTAAAAAATTACGCAAAAATTTTTTAATAATTATTTAAAGAAAAAATCAAACGCTTTGTGTCAGTTCAAAACATTATGTTTAATATGTTTATGCATAATTAAGTCTCTTGCGTAATTTGTGAAGCAATTTGGTGTAACAAAAGTGTCAACTTCGTATTATTGCAAAACAGCAAAGATCAGTCACAAGATGCTGTGAATGTGTATATACGAGATGCGGATCTTGCGCTAGCAGTCCTAAAACCTTCTGTTTCTAATAAATTTTAGAGCTCTTTAAGAAGTCTTTTAATCATCAAGAATCCAATTAGGAGCTCGTATGGTTTTCTCTTTGAGTTTAATTTGGTGCTTATAGCAATGAAGCAAGACAGACACTCTGGCGAGATTTATGATGTCCCCTGTGTAGTTTATTCTTGTTGTTTTATTAGAAGCGGCACCGCGCCAACAGACTTGACATCTGCAAGCAAAGCAACATGCCTCTCTGCTCCTCCAAATCTGGGGGACGCGATGTGCGCCGGCTCTATTTTTTCACAGGCGGCGATCACTTGTTGATTAATTGCCTCTTGCGGGCTATCACTTTCATTCAGTAAACTGAATATCCTTTTTCAAAAAAGGTGACACTTGAGCCCAACGGCTCTTCAGAATAGATAAAATTTGCTAATGAATTATAAAAAAAACGTACAGAAATAAAACTAAACTTAAAATTTTAAAACGGTTCAACGAATTGGATATTTATTTTTACTAAAATATCTTCATAAATTTTTTTTCCATTGCCACGGGGGTGTTAGGAAAACTTTGTCACGCTTAGTAAATTTAAAATTATGCTCCCGCGCACAGTCCTCCTTTGATGAGGGTGTGCATAAATCTGGCGACTTTTTTGCGCGGCGTCGCACAATCTGGTGCGTGCCCTTTTTTCGGCAGGCGTTAGAATAGTCGCGGACCATTACCGTTTATTAGACTAACATGTCGTCTACACGTCGTATAAAAGTCACAACACGCGCAGACGCTCGTCGCTAATTGATGCGCGCCAGAGGTGAATAATTTCGGCCCACGAACTTCAATTAAAACACACGCGGACCAAGAAAATGAGCATCGCCGCGGCCACCACTGATATTTCGTTTACTCGCTTGACATTTAAGTGCCGCGATGTGTCTTGGTAATTGGGGTGTCGCTCCCGAGGACGCGAAATTTGTCGGCGCGTTAAGAAAAATTATTGACAATTTTAAACTTCAACTGCCGCAGTGAAATTGGGTTATGAAGTGCTTCAGAAAAAGAGTTTATTTCTGTTCTGGACTGCTCTGGGAGATGAAAGGGGTAAAATTTTAAAGATGTGAATAAAAAATGACAAGACCGTAAATTTAGAATAGTTATAATTATAATAAGATAATAAAACAATTACGATTTAATTTGAGAAATTGATTTGCTTGAACATTATGAAAAATATTATTATTTTTGTCCTTTTTTTATAGCAACTAAGCAATGCAGATTCTAGTAACATATAGAAATTAAATTTATTCAATCATAAAATATTTATTTTCATGAATTGCAACACTCACAATATTAATGGAATGTTGAGAGAAAATGAATTGTTTTAAGTTATTTTAAATATTTGCAAATGTGTTAAAACTCGAGCAAATTTCTTTGTAGATTATGGATGAAAAATATAGCATATAAAAATAAAACTTATTGTTTGTTCTTAATATGATCTAGAAAAATAATTTTATATAAAGAAAAAATGAATCTAAATAATAATAAATCCTCATTTCTAGAGAGTTGTGCTGCCGAAGATGAGGGAATGTCATCACCGCTGGGAAAAGAAGCGGATGAGCGCAAAAAGAGGCCGCGAACCGCCTTCACAGCCACGCAAATTAAAGCACTTGAAGCCGAATTTGAGCGCAACAAGTACTTGTCCGTGTCAAAAAGACTGCATTTGTCAAGAACCCTGCACCTCACCGAAACACAGGTAATTCCTAAAACGCATATCCTTATTTTTCCTGAGGTGTAAATTTTAAGAAAGTGTCAAGACTCGTTTTGTCTCCATGCGTGAATGTTTCTCAATGACGAGGGTTGATGTATGGTGTGTCGAGACAAATAGAAAAATAAACGGGGGCTGGAGCAAGTGCGGCGTAGTCTAGGTGGCGCCGAATTTGACGCCCGTGGCTGCGAAGATAAAATTCTCGCGGCTCATTAAGTGGCGCTTCCTTCCGCCGCGCTAATGAGGGCGGGTGGCACCTCTAATGAATTGCATCGCTGCAAGATTATTTATCTCCTCCGCTCGTCAGTCCACCAAAGCTGGCACCGAACGTTTCCTTGTTTAAATTACGCTTATTTAGCAAAAGGCAAGCAAAACCAGAGCTATTAAATAAAATACGAATGAGCTTTCATTTGAGATTTGAGCTCAAACAAGTTACCTTAAATAAAAAACCACATGTTTCAGCAGAGAGACCAAACAGTAAGAAAGCCAATTAAATTAATTTAAATTTGCTAAATTACTGTTTTGCCACTCTCAAAAAATTCCATTTGTGAAAATTAAATGAATTTAAATTTGCATTATAATTATTTTCTTTTATTTGAAACTCATTGAAGTACAACTTCAACTTAGAAAATTTTACAAAGCAATTTGCAATGTGGTGCACGGCAAGATAAAATCAAAGTCTTTCACTTCATTTTTGAAAGTCATTAATACTAAGGATGCGATTTTTTTACTCGGCCAGGTGGTACTAGGTTTAAATTTGCATTATTACTGTTTTTCTTTTGCCACTCTCAAAAAAGCTGAAACATGTCATGCGGTTTTTGCTTCATAACATGTTTGAGCTCGAATGAAATATTTTCTCTGCCGTTTGCCTTTTGCTAAATAAGCATTATTTAAACAAAGAAACGTTTGGTGCCAGCTTTGAAGGACTGACAAGCGGAGGAGACAAATAATCTTGCAGCGATGGTCTAAATTTGATGAAACAAATTAATTTTATAAATTATAGAAATTTAGGAAAAAAATTATGTAATTAATCCAAATAAATCAATTTTACTTTTTTCCAGATAAAAATTTGGTTTCAAAACAGACGCACTAAATGGAAAAGAAAGTACACAAATGACCTGGAACTAGTCGCCCAACAATACTACACAGCCCTAGGAGTGGCCGCACCAAGACCTTTGTTCCTCGGAGACAGACTTTGGTAAATAAATTCAATGATTTCAAAATTTTTATTCAAATTATAATAAATAGGTTCTTCAATTACCCGCCTGTGCCGAGTGGAACTTATCTGCCCTCAGGTCAGGTCATGCCCCCCACCCAGCCGCATCCCATGGGCTACCTACATCCACCGGCGGGACCACCACCACCTGGAATGCTCCAAGAACACTTCATGATGGGCAACCCCCCGTCACAGGTGCCACCTTTTTTGCAAAGGTTCGATTTGGACTTCAGTGGACACAACACGCCCAGCAGCAGTCGAGACCAAAGCTGAATTGACAATTTAATATTTTCATGTGTGCCTTTCTACAAAATTAATTTATTTTAATTTTTAAACATTGTGTGAAGTATTTTCTTTGTAACAAACAAATTATCAAGAATTCGTCTATAAAGAATAATTTATTTGCAAATTTTGAATTTTGTTATCATTCATCATGGTGAACTGACAGACCTGCTGAGTTCCGAAGCGTAAAAGTCCTCATCCCCAAATTTCAAATCAACTCCGACGCCCATGGTTGGGTAGTTTGCGCCGTACATTTCATCTTCCTCCTGCAGTGCTTGGTGCTGCTTCTGCTTGTATCTAATAATTGTAAAAGGATTTAAATCAAATATAAAAGCCACATTTGAAATGGGATTCTCACATTTCACTGTCGGGATTATTTTCCTGGTTTCGGCACTTCTCCAGCCGTTTCTCCAGAGCTCTGATTATTTCTTTCGGTGTCGTCTCCATTGATTTGATCATCGAACGAACCTCTGCCAGAATAATGTTAGTAAAAGGGAATTTAAACTAATTTTTTAGATTACTTCGAACAGCTTCAACGAGGGAGGTCAGTCTTTCGGTGCCGGACGACCCGAGCAGCGTTTGTGTCACGTAGTTGTCCAGATTTTCACCAATTTTGCTTGCAGAATGGAGAATGGCAGCCAAAGCTAATTGAGATGGGGCCACCAGCAAGGGGGCCGAGGTGAGGAAAGCCTTGTCGAGAAAGTCCTCGATGCCGGGCCGCAGTCTTTCGGGGTTCACCATTTGACTTCTTGTCTGCAATTTAAGAAAATAAGCAACTTTTTGACACATTTCAATGAAAATCCTTACTTTAATGTCGATCAGCAAACCTTCGATGGGTCTGAAGGGATTGTGGATGGTGAGGTTGTAGTTGAGGACTTGCATGAGGAGCAGTTCGTTGTTGAGAATTATGTCCATGGCTTTGCTTTGGTTCCCTCGGACGTTGCTGACAAACTGGTTGATCGACACGTTGAACTCGTCCACTTTGCACGCCAGATAAACACAAGTGACCCTAAAAAGTGAAAGTAAAATTTTAGAAATTTTGTGAATTCCAAGGAAAAGTATTGAAAATTTTCAGATTATTTTAAGATTATTTCGTACAGAATTTCTTTGGGATGGTAGTCCATAACGGAATGGATGAGGTAAAATCTCTTGAAATAGTGAAACGCGGTGCCCGCGACTGATTTTGGCATGATTGGCTCAAAACGCCGGCAAAAGTCCCGCAACTGGAGCTCGTACTGTCTCAGCAAAATTTTCTCGTCGTTGGCACTCAAGAAGAATTCGCTCCGTTCTTCTTCCTGTGAATAATATTAGATTGATAAATTAAAATAAAAAAATTAATCTCATTTTACCTTCATGTGGGCGCCGTGCTTTTCGATGAACTTGGCATTCGCCTCGCATCTCGCCTTCAGAAGTTCCGACTCGTCAGCGTAGAGCCAGAATTTTTTCTGCGTGCTGGTCGTGAACATTTTCTTAGCCTTTGACCAAAACCTGCAGAATTATTAAACTTTCCAGCGTTCGCAATTTTTTCCAGACTCAAAGAAAGTCTCAAATCCTGCACCGGTCGACAGGTGACCGGTGTTGTTTTCGTTCTTTGTTTTGATCTGGGGCCGCCTCCAGCAGCGGCAGAGCCATCTGTAGTGAAATTTTAATGTTAAAGTATTTAGAAAAAATGTCATTCATTTGATTCATTTGAGACCAGTTTGAGACATACTCAACTCAGTCATGAGTTATGTATACAGAAAAATAAAATAAAACAAAACGAAAAAGTACAAAACAAGCTACAAGTAAAATTAAAAAATACTATTTATACATAATTTTATTTTTTATTAATAAATTAATTATATTTTATCTAATATTATTTTATATTATTAACAATAAATTTTGTGTTAATTTTTTATTTTATACTATTATAATTTAAAATGTTTAATAATAAAAATTTTATTAAAATATTTGAGTTTTAAATTATATCACTATGTAAAATTTGATAATATTTTGTATATTTTTGTTCCATTGGTACATTTCTTCATAATATAAATCATAATTTCATGGAAAAAATTCATTGTCAGCATACTTTATTTCTTTTAATTTTAGACACAAGGAGATATAATGAGAAGTAAATAGTTTTTATTTTGATATAAAATTTGTTTTAATATTATTTATAAAAATATTTTACTTAATAATTTGTTATTGAAGATTGTTTATATTTATTTTGCATACTACAAAACTTCACTAATTAACTCTGTTAATAATTTTTTAAATTCCTACTTAATGCAGATGGCAATGTTTCAAAGTTGATTGAATTTTTGCAACACACACGCTTATCAAATTAAATAATATCGCTAAATAATAATTAACTTTCTTTGCCTTTGTTCTCTGAAAAAGAATTATTATTATTATTCTGGGAAATAAGAAAACCTAGAAGAAAGTAAATCTGAATTACACTCATTGTGAAAATCACTGATTTCGCACAATCTTATCAAGCAGATGACAAACGTGACGTATTTTTCAATTTCATTTCTTATCTTAAAATTTTCCTGGTCTCCTTTAATAAAAATGTTAGTCGGAAGTCGCAGTGAGTGGTTCTCGCAGTCACCTCTTGTAACTCAAAGAGTAAGAGACAAACAGAGATATTTTTTTGGCGCATCATGAGCTCAACCAGTTTGACAATATCATCGATTTTAATATTTACACTCATCAATTTTCACACTAGAGAGCTCGCTGAGGCAAGCGATCTTCTTCGCTGCTCAAGTAAGTCACTGACATCAACTTTATCATATTAAAAAATATATATCTTTTCCAATAAAAAAATTTTTTTAAATAAATTTATAATTTTAAGATATCTATTTTTGAAGTAATAAATTTGATGGTCTGCAAACAAAATTAATTCGAACAGCCTATCAAGATCTCTGCTTCCCAACTCAAGACTGCTGCCCGGGAAAAGGATTAACATGCAGTTCCGCAAATTTCTGCGTTTGTGCGAGAGCTGACCAGCAGTGGGAGGATTTTTTCGACGAGTGTCGGTAATTATTTGAAAAAAAAAAATAACAAAGGTGTTTAAATTAATGGCTAATAAAAATTGTGTGACTTAAGTGACAGACCTGCGCCCCAGCCAACTCCACCCGGCAATCAGGATTCAAGCACCGCTTTAGGGATAGGATTAGCTGTTGCAATTTTCGCCGCTTTTGGAATTCTAGTTTTTGTTTGTTTGACGTGTAACAAAGGGTATGACAGATACTTTTATTTCAACAATAAGAAATAACATTTAAAACTTATCAACTTCCAACTTCACTTTGAAAAAGTTCAATTTTTTTTAATTAGTACGGAAACATTTCATGAGAAGCAGTAACACATTTTGTATTCAGAAATGAAGAAAGCAGTTTGAGGCACGTAGAAATTCATGCCTCCGCGCCGCCGGTGGACAACACATGGTGTGGCCCACCAGTACTCGAAAATACTTCTCAAGAGGAGTCTCATTCATGCGGCGGTCAACATTGCAACTCTGACGACTCGCCGCCTTCCTATGATGACATAATGGGTGGCTGCGATGACAATGGTGCTGCTGGGGATTAATATAAACAACCGATTTTGATCTTGAAATATTTTTGTAAACTCATCGAATTTTTTTTTTTAAATTGACTCGCTGGCCCACTGAGAGGTATAAAATACAATGAATTGTTTTGAAACACCTGAAAATTGTAATTTACTATCAACGATTTGCATTATGCGTTTATATAATGGAAATCAAACTCAGAAATCCGCGGCACATTCATGTTCTTTGAAAGTATTAGGCAAACTGAACGTTTTTAAAATTTGTACGCTTCAATTATGGTGATGGTTATAAATATAAAGAGCTCTCTTTAAACATTTTTCCGTATTTACAAGTCAATTTTTACTCTAACTGGGACGTGTTCGTCTGCTGTTATTAATATTATTATGCTATTATTAATATGGCATCTGTCATAATGAGGCTTTATTCATAATTCTACAATTAATGGACTGAAACTACGCAACATTTTTTTGTTTTCAAATGTATTATTAAATATTAAAATATTATTGAAAATAACTAAAAAAAAATTGCTGCAGTTCGATAATTTTAATGATAATATTTTTTTTCTGAATTGGAGAAGATAATTTAAACTTTTGATCACTATTTTTTTTTTTTTTTATTTATTATTATTCATTATTGAAATGCAAACAAAGTACATAAACAAAAAAGTCAATTCTCTGATTTGGGCACTATTATGCAACCTACAGGGCACCTGATTATTATTATATTTGTATTTTACCATCAATAAAAATATTCAAAGATATTTATTATAAGTTCTGCAACTATTATTTTATATTATACAAAATGCAAACTGCCGCAAATATCTTTTTGCGCTCTGGCGTACATTTTTAATTACTCACGTTCCAGTCGCTGCCGTGATGAGAGGGTCAAATTCTACTGCAGCATTTGAAGTCGTAACTGCCGCGCTCTCGGTGACGAGGCCGTCGTTCGGTCGGTCGTGTGTGTTTTAGCACAAATATGAAGCCGGCGTCACCATATCGCCCTGCAGAAAATATTCGCAACGTGACGTCATTCGCATTAACGGTCTTTAGAAATGAATCAGAGTAGAGTCACAGAAAAGCTGATTCTGGCGCCAAATTAGCAACATGCAAGGTTAAAATTCACTAAAAAAACATGTAAATCGCTAAATATTTTAATTTTTTCTTGTAATAAATAGTTGAAAATTAAATTGATAATTATAAAACAATTATTATAAAACAAAAATGCCGCTTTTTACAATTCTATTATTTTCTCACAAGGTCCGTTTTCGACATATTATATTTAATTATGCCGAGCCCATTATTTCCAAACATTAAAAGTTATTATAGAACAAATTTGCCACTTGGATGCTTGAGCGCCAGATTAGTCGGTGATTAGTTGTTAATTTATGAGGCGCCTAAAAGAAAGAGACGCTTGTTGGATTTCAAAAGGTGCTGACGAAAGCATAACAGCGAGACTCGGCTCTCAATTGAAATGGAAACAAACTGCGCTCTGCCTTTTTCCGTTTTAAAATGCAGTGTGTATGTAAATGTGGCTACGTAATATATATATTATGTGTATTTCACACACTCACCAAAGCGCGTTGGGGCCAAAGCAGTCAAGACGTTCATCAAAACATTAAATTTGCCACGCACAACCATTCCCATGCTCACTCTCCGAGAGTTCAGGTCAGCGTTTGAGGGGTGACTCATTTCCACTGGCGAAGAACATCAACAGTCGGTTTTGAATATTTTTGAACAAATTTTAAAAATCAAATTGTTTAATTTAAATTTTTTACTCAATTTAATTCCTAATAAAGTTTTTTTTCCAAATTTCAATGTGATGCTGGCAGTATAAATGACCTAAATGACAACAGATTTTAAATTTTACACCTGGTGGTTATTTTTTATTAATAAATAGCTCAAATTAATTCAAAATGCAAACATGGAAAATTGATGGAGGCATTGAATTTGATTCAGTTGAAATTTTTTTAATATTATTTTTTTAGTATGAGGTGGAAAAAAAGGTTTCTAAATTTCATATAACGCTATAGAAAAATGAATTCGTAAACAAATTTTAAACCTCATTAAACAAATCAATATATGAATGAGTGATAGCAACAAAAACTAGGTCAACTGAGCCTCAGATAGCGGTGGATGAATTTTTTATCTCGGAAAAGTTTCAGAAAAATTTGTGCTTCTGTTGGTGCCTTTATGTCCGAAAACTCCTTCCTCCCAATAATATGGTTTTTCATTCAATGTAAAATATTTTTTACACCATGCAAGGAGAAATGAACAGGAAAAAAATGAAATAGAATTAATTAATTTTTAAGTTGGTATTTACATAATATTAACTGATAAAATTATTTAAATCTTGTTTATGTGTCAAAGGTCACCTTATTGTTAACTATTCTTTTTGAGATTGGAAAATTGGCAAAAAGGTAGCAGGCCAAGAGGGCGCAGCGCAGGGTTCACCGATTATGCACCAACTACCAAATTCACGTTCTGCACTTTCTTTTGCTGCAGCTCTAATATAGCCAGGCAAGGCAGCAAAATAATTTTAATAACAACCAGAAAGAGATTGGCTGATGGAGTTTTAGTTTTGAACAACATTTAATTTATGTTTATATCTGAATATTTTTCAGACTTTTGACCGATTTAGATTAATTATTAAATGAATATATTACATTAGACGTCAACCCCACTTTGATTATATACTCATTTTTTTATCATTATACTATTTACGTAAAATATTGTAAAAATATTAAAACAAAAATAAAGATTAATTTGTTATAAAAAGTGGTTTAAATTTATTTTTTAACAAAATAAATAAATTTTAAAAATAAATGCGATTTAATATTAGAACAGTCTAAAATAAGATATATTAATAATTGTATTTTTAAAATAAGAAATAAAACTTACAAAATTTACAAATTCAACATATTTATAAAAATTATGTTAATCTAAATCACAAATTTTTACATGACAAATAATTACAATTCAATTAAATCATTTTTTGGTTTTAATGTTGATAATGAAAGCTCAACTAGTATGAGATTTTTTACCGGATAATGTTTGAAAACTCATCATCCACGGCTAAAATCTCAAGCAGTGGGCTTTGTCTCTTTTCGAGCTGCCGCTGCCACCCTTCGTAAAAACGTTGCTGTAAAAAACGCACATACTTGCAAATAGAAATCGCGCCTTACCCTCCTGTTCCTTGTAAGCCAGCAATCTCTACTTTAAAGCACGCACGCAAAAATAAAAATATCATGCGTAAATTACAGGTTTTTATCAGGTTAACAATTTACAATGGGTGACGAACAACGTTTACAGACAATACTATGCTTGAGCAAAAATACATTGATTGTTGTTTGTTTACAAATACCAGAACAAATTAAATTACAAAATAACATAAACTTAACAAAAAATTTGCGCATTTTAACAATTTTATAAAAAAATGTATTAAACAAAAATTTTTTATGTAGTCATAAAAGAGAAAAGTACAAATCTTCAAGCTTGCGAAAAATTGTTAAAAATAATTATCTCAAATTTATATTTTAAAGCGGGCAAAACGGATAAAAATTTTAGATATTTTTTAAACCGCACCTAACAAACATTAAAATTCCATGCTCACATCCATTTCTGAAAAATTCAATTTCACTTTTCGAAAAATTTTGAAAAAGAGAAAAATGATAGTTAAAAATTAGTTGAAATTTCAAAATATTAAATATTATGTGAGAACAGCTAAACTGGATAAGGCGCGTTTTGTCTGTACCAAAAAAATTTCGCTCCATCCAGTTAGCTGCTCCTTCATTTATTTCACCTGTTTTCCTGGGTATGAAATTTCTATATTTTATCATTATAATTACTAAAAAAAGTTATTTATTGCAAGCTAGATTTTTTTGCGGACAAAAAAATAAATGTCTTGCAAATAAAAAATAAACTGCAAAATACTCGCATGCAGATTAACTTGTAAGCTAATGGCTGGTGGACATTAGATGATGACGGCAAAGTAGTTTGTTTCGAAATTCACAATTACTTAAACCTTCATCATCTGACGAAGCAGCAGCCGATTTGTGCAAAAAGAGCTGAGCATGTCGCCACAATCCTAAAAATTTAACTCCCCCAAAGCAATCAAATACAAGCCAAGGGGCAGAAAAACTTTTGAGGACGCTGGCGAAAAGAAATACAACCTTCGCGTTTGCAGAAAATAAAGGGTGAGATGGCTCAGGTGCTCACCGCGACTGATACCATAGACCTTAATGCGGGGAGTAATCGAAGGTTTGTCAAATCTACATATTATTCCCTGCATTGAAGACTAAAATACCAAAGGGCACCAAGACGAGAGACACTTGTTGCTGGCACGACTGGCGGAGGAACAATGAGCGTCAGTGTGGACGCCCGGAGGAGAATGAGCGCAGCTTCTTCGGCGTCCAATTCGACACCCCTTGCCTTTGGCGAACCAACGGCCGCGACTCGAACATGCACTCACGCCTCTTGCTCTCCTCCGCTGCCAGCAATTCAAATTGAAATTTTATTCGGCTCTCAACTCTTTTTAACACAGCCCTCGAAAATGTCAAGCCGATTTATGGTTTTTCCATCACCCACGTGCTTTTCGATGGGAAAAAGGCACCCTATGTACAAAGATCACGGTTTGTTTCGGGCCCCGATCCAGATGCCCCCTGCATTTCACTAATGCGCGCCGCTGATGAGTTTTTTTTTGCCGCGCGTTCTGTTTCCCGTATTGCGCGTGACATATTTATGTGGGTAACACCAAAAAACTAGGTTTACACGGTTATTTCTTCTGAAGGCGCGCGCTCAATCTGAAAGATATCAAGTATATAAAAAATATATATAATTGTGTGGTCCATTGCTAAAAACAATTAGTATTGAAAATAAACAACTTCATCAAAAATTAATTGTTTTTATTATACTTGTTTAACTTTTTTTTAATTGTTGTTTGATTACAACTTTTTTAATTGAAAAGTTTTAATAACAAAGTAAAAATTTAAAAGCTGCAAACAATTATAGACATTTTTAAACAAAAATTTACCATTTTTATGTAAATAAAATTTTTTTAAACTTAAAAACGGTGAAAAAACCAATAAAACATAAAACCATGCCACGATTCGTTGGGACTAGTAATTCTTAAACGTTTTGAGATTTGAATATTACATAGAAACTAAAATTGAACTTATTTTATTTTTAAATGATTCGATAAACAATATTTTACTTTTTTATAAAAAATCTTAAGTTCAAGTTTAATACCAGAGCTATTTTTTCTTAAAAATTTATTTTATCAACTTTCTTAACAGCGCCTGGCATTTTCCTGAACGCAACCTGCACAGCTGCCGCGCTCTAACAGTTACATACCTTTTACACCATTTACCTGAAAATTTTACTCTCAAATGATTTTTGCCCCTTTTTTTAAATTTTAATTAATTTAGGATAAAATAAAAATATTAAATAATTTTAATTCATATCACAGTTTCATAAATCAATTACACAAGGAGAATAATATCAAGAAAATTTAGCCTCTTGTTCATTTCGTATTTTATCCGAAAGATGGCACGAGACCCGGCGAAACCTGCAGAGCTTGCGCCTGCGGTCATGCAGTGTGCAGTGTTTTTGTTGTCAAAGTTTTTACTTGTCGTGTTCAGAAAAAATAATCAAGTGATGCGAATTTTGCCAGTGCAAATGAGAGAATAGTGTTCAAATGTAAGCAATTAAATTATTTTTAATAGTATTAACATTAATCTTAACATATTAAAATAAAAATTGATCGTTGCCTGTAAGAATTAATGTTTTTTCAATAATTTCAGCAGCTGACTGACCCATCCCTTTGAGCCAAGGTGCGAAAGGGTCAAATAATAGAATAATGTCCGCAGCGGTTTTGCCAGATTCGGACAGCGAGGATGAACTTCCTCCTGGTTGGGAAGAAAGGGCCATGCTAGATGGTCGTGTTTATTTTGTGAAGTAAGTAAATAACAAGGAGAATATTGAAACAAAAGTCAAAAGTGCATGAGTAAAATGACAAGAGCTTTTCTCTTAACAATTTCATTTTTTAGTCACAACACCAAAGGATGTCAATGGACTCATCCAAGAACGGGCAAACGTAAAGTTGTCGCTGGAGGTAAAAATAAAATTTTATAATTTTTTCAATTCCTAAATATTTGTTTGCTTGGATTTTCAGAAATACCATTCGGTTGGACAAAACAAGTGACCGAGGATGGCAAAGTTCTGTACGTGGATGACATCAACAAGAGGTCAACCTACGCTGACCCTCGTTTGGCCTTTGCCCTCGAGGAGAAGGAAACCCCTGATGACTTTCGGCAAAAGTTCGACGGCTCCTGCAACGCCATGCAAGTCCTCCACGGACGAGACCTCACCAACAAAGTGGCCATCATTACTGGAGCCAATTGTGGCATTGGTTTGTCAATCTTGAATTAAAAAAAAAAAAACTCTTTTCAGTAAAAATAAAATTTCGTTTAGGCTTCGAAACAGCTCGTTCTTTGGCCCTGCACGGCTGTACAACAATTTTCGCCTGCCGTGACCCAGACAGGGCGCAAGAGGCCATTGGAAAAATCAAGGCTGAAGGCAGGAGCACCGGCCCCATGGAATTCATGGAGCTCGATCTTGCCTCCCTCAAAAGTGTCAAGAATTTTGCTACTTTGTTCCAGATTAATTACAAGTAAGGATAATAGTAAATTATTATTTTAGAAATATGCTAGACAAATTATTTCAATTTTGGAATCATTATAACAGTAATTTTTAAATTTTTATTTAAATAATTATGCTTAAAAATTTTAATAATGATAAAGTTATATGCTGAACTTCATATTTTATGAAAGTATTTCTTAGTATTTGAATTGTATTTAACATTTTGTAAGCGTCAAATAGTTGATAAAATTTTATCACCATCATTTCCTTGTTCAGAACGCTCGACATGCTGATCTTGAACGCTGCCGTCATGGGCTTGCCATTTTCCCTCACTCCGGACGGCTTCGAGACACATTTCCAAGTCAACCACTTGTCCCATTTCTACTTGACCCTCCTCCTCAAACCCGTCCTTCTTCGGACGATCTGCTCGAGAGTAGTGTTTGTCTCTTCAGAATCGCACAGGTAATTTTGTAATAAATAATTCCTATCGAAATTTTTAATTGATTTAATTTTTAGATTTTCCTTCCTTGGCATGCACAACATAAGTGAAGAGCGCCTCTCAGCCGTGACTGCCTCTCGTTACCAAGGTGCCATGCAGGCCTACAACGACTCAAAACTCTGCAATCTGATCATCAGCGTGGAGATAGCGCGCAGGTGGAGCCCACTTGGAATTGCGGTCAACGCCCTCCATCCTGGGAATATGGTCAGCTCGGACCTTGCCAGGCACTGGTGGCTATACAGACTGATCTTCTCACTAGTCAGGCCCTTCACCAAATCACTTGTAAGTTGAGCTAAATGATAATTGAAAATCATTAATTAATTTAAACTTCTTGCACAATTATGAATTAAAATATATATTTTATTTGTAACATTATTTTTAATTTCAAAGAACTTACTTTTTCCTTAATGTAGTGAGCAAGAGTAAGTTAAAGTGCTGTTTTCACTAATTTTATATCAATATTTATTTTATTTATTTACTCTTTCTTTCAAAAATTGCAGAGCATTTGTTTAAAGTTTATAAAATAAAAAATTAGTGCAATAAAAATAATTAAAATAATTTATTTATACTTAAAAAAATAAATTTAATTGGAGGGTTTTTTTAAAAAATAAAAAAGAAGAATAAATAATAATAATAATGTTCACTTTATTTATATTAAATAAAGTACTTTTAAATTAATTTAATTTTTGTACCTAAATGTTTATTGGTCATAATGTAGTTGCTGATTAAAATAGACGAAGCCATAGAAATATGTAATAAATAATAAAATCTAGATTTATTTATAATTTTATTGATATTTTACTCTTGTAATTGAAGTAGCATTTCGCCCGATATGATCTAATACTGTAGCCTTATTTGATCGAATTTTAAGTATCCAAATTTTAATCTGTTAACAGCAACAAGCAGCCAGCACATCAGTGTACGTAGCTGCCCATCCGGATACGGCTGGCGTCGGTGGCCTCTACTTCAACAACTGTTGCCGGTGCCCGTCGAGTGCCGCCTGCGACGACGTCGAACTGGCCCTTGCCTTGTGGGACTTGAGCGTAGCAATGATCGAGAAAGTTATGGGCCAAGGGGCAACCACTGAATTTACTCAAGATAACACCGAGCCATCGTCCTAGGCGTCCTTAGTAAGACTCATTGTGTGATATTATCATTCCAAACATTTCTGGCAATTAGAAATAAAAAGTGTTTAATTTAATCCTTAAAAATTGAATTTCATTTTAATTCAGCTTTTGATTGCTTATATATTTTTTATTATAAAAAAAACTTGTAGAAAAAGATAAAAAAAATTTAATGATATTCAATTTGGGCATGATATTTTTCCCTACTATATTCTAATTTAAGTTAAACAAAGAATTGAAATCTTAAAAAAATAATTAAATCAATTAAAACGATACATTATATTTCAATTTTTTGTAGATTTGGTCTGCCCTTCTGTTTAATAAATCACAATCACACTTCCTTACCGCAAGAAATGCAATGGTTTATTCGTCACACACAAAAGATTAGATAAGGTGAAATGTTATGAAAAAAAATAACTCCTGCCGATAAGGCGGCTGCAGTGTGGCATATCGGAGCTCCCATATATGCGTGGTGTGGCACCGTGGCGCGCGCCTCGGAGCATTATTTCGTGAACAAAATACGAAACGTGCTTGTAGTGGATATAAAGGTGCTGCAGCACACACACTTTCTAATCTGCCCCTCCACCTGGATTTGTTACGTCACAGTGAGCGAGGTAGAAGCGACTCTCGACAGTGAGCCGAGTGCGTGTCTCGAGAAAAGGTTCATTAGACCCTGGCTCTGGTGCTCACGCCGAGTGGCTTGTTGTGAGAAGAGGCGGCGATGCCGTGACTAGTTAGCATGTGAGCCGCGGCACGAAAGCATGGCCGAGCAGCCGCTCCGTGAGGACGTCCCGCTGTCCGTGCTGGACGCGGGACACACCCGCAGACTGTCCGGCGCCAGGAGCAGCAGCCAGACGCGGCCGCTCTCGCAGCTTTCCAACGGAGCCGAAGTCACTGCATTTGGGGAGAAATCTGCGTCTGCTGCTGCCGACCCCACCAAGACGCCGCTGCTGGTACATTTCTTTATTTCAAATTCATCCTATTTTTTGCTCTAATTATTATCTGCTTCTCTTGAGTCACGCGATTTTTCTGACAGCTCTTTTGCGATAATGTATGATACAGTATGATCTTCTTAAAGGAGAACATTTGTATGTATAGCTCAAAATTTAAAATATTAAAATAAAATTTGTATATTTGCGTTTTTCTAAATTTTAATTTTAAAAAAAATGTTTTTTAAATCATTTTTTATGTTTTTTATATTATATACAAAAGAATTATTATATATATTTTAAATTAAATTATATTTTAATAAATCTTTTGAAATAAATAAAAACTAAAACTTGTTAATTAAGATGCAATTTATTTGTATGCTAATTTATTTTACAATTAAATAAAAAAAAATATATATTTTATTTGGTGCCGGAGGAATGTTGTACAATTATTAATACCTTTTCATTCGGTTCTAAGATGTCTTTTTTTATATAATTAAGACAATTAATTTAATACACTCGTTACGCTATTTTTTTTTTATTCTCACAGTAGTAAAACTAATTATATATAAAATTAGCTCAAGAACAACATAATTATTATTTTAATTGAAATTTGAAATATTTCTTTTATATTATATTTGAGTTTTTAGAGCAAAGGAGCGCGCCCTTGCTTAAAAGGCGTTCGCGTTTGCCAAACAATGTGAGCGCGCGGCTTCGCCTCTGGCTTACACAACGCGCGTATTGTCTACCTTAATTGCATATCGCGTAACAAAATAATAAACTTGATGAACAAAATACCCACAAGCAGCGGTTAATTGTGCACACCTTGTGCGACATTGAAAGACGACTCCTTCCATCCATGGGAAAATTGTCCTGGCAACTTTCATTGGATATTTTTATTAGTTCACATGTGAAGGCAAATTACCTGAACTGCTGTTTAACCGGTTTTGGTTCTCGTTTGCATAATTACTAATTAGCAAAAATGTGCAATTCCTCAAATAATTATTTCCTACCTCAAAATCTGCCAGTGGATTTTTACTTGATTACTCTGATTGCGAAATATTAGCGACGATCGTCGCAATCAACTTGGGTTTTTAATTTATCTCATAAGTGCACATTTCATTTTTCACAAGACACACCCTAAACACCTTGACTGTTCCAGCTTTAGAAATTTTTGAGCTGCTTAATTCTGATTAAAACTGTAGATTTCTTATCAAAAATAGTTTTTTTTTGCAAAGTAACTCGGCTTTGTTTACAAATCCCGTGTGTGATAATAATTTATTGGTGTTTCAGATGCCGGTCGGATCCTCGACTCCAATCGTGACCCCCAAACGCGCACAGCCGGCGAGGCCATTCAACGGCAGGAATTTATACAGGGACCCGACCAGGAGACACAGCTCGCCCCGCAGGCAAATCTCGCAGGTTTCCCGGACCCTCTCCGTCGAGCCGAAGAGCAAATCTTGGTAGTAAATCTTGCGCGCTGGCAGTGCAAAAGTCGCTGGGCGTAGCCTTCTCGTTTTCCCACACAAGCTGAAATTTATTTTTGTTTCAATAAAAAAGTGCATTTTATTCGAATATTCCAAGCTTATATGGCTTGTAAAAAAGTAGATACTGTCGTACACTTAAAATATTATTCAGCTGCCAATTATTTTAAACAAAACAGTTAATTTTTAAAAATAAGCATTTCTGAACAATTCTGAACTGAAGACATAAATATGAAATAGAAATAATATATTTATTATTTTCAAATTTAATAAACTATACTCTATTGAAAAAGCTAAGAATAAAGATGATGAACTTAATTCAACCATTTGTGTTTTAAGAAGAAAAAAATTAAAAATAGATCTGTAATTAAATCTTGTAACATAATTAATTTGTTTATAAAAATATTTGACATTTTAAAATTAAGCAACTACTGTGAAATGATAATCTAACAAAAAAAAAAATGTTCTCCTTTTTTGCAGTTGTAGTGTATCTAGATGTTTTGTCGAACTGTTGTGGTTCCTGATGGGACTGCGCCACTTTATCGCCGAGGTGCCATTGTTAGTCCTCTTAGTCATCTCTCCGAGCGCCCTGGGCGCCCTTTTCTACATGGGTCTCGTGTTCACCTGCCTGCCGGGCTTGGTCGCAACAATCTCCAATATACGGTACGTTGGCATTGTTAGCCATTATTCGCGGCAAATTAGTTTTTTGGCTCGGCGCAAAGAAGTAGCAGAGCGCATAGTGAGAGAATTAATGAGAGCGCGCGCGTTTTTCATCCGCAGAAGCGGCAGGAAGTCCAAGAAGAAGACCAAATGCAGTTTCCTTGTGATGCAGAGCTTCTTCCTTTTGTTCCGCTTGGAATCATTTTTAAGGTAATGCACTCCACGCAATACATCAAAAGTTCATTTAGCTCGTTATTGCTGGGAATCCACAATTGACATTCTAAAATATGTTGAACTTAAAAATAACCATTAGACCTCAATATTTTTTTGCTTATTTAGTCAAGCTTAATTTTTCCAGTAAAATAACCAATAAATTTAGAAAGCGTTGAATTTTATAAAACAAAATAAAATTTTCATGATTTTTTTAACAATTGCAAAAATTATTGAAACATTTCTATTTAATTATCTTCATTTAAAATTTACTTCAATAAGCAATAAAAATAATTGAATATTGTAAAAAAATAGCAGAAAATTTCATTCTTTTAAATAATAAAGAATAAAATAATACAATCAAACATTAAATGAATAATATAATTCTCAGTATTTCTAGTCTTTTAATTAATACTAATTATTAAACTTGATTTTAGACTGTTTGAGCTGGCTTGTCCAAGTCTGCGCACCAAGGGTAGACCGTGGCCAGCAAAGGTTGCGATGGCGCAGGTGGTTTCGGGCTCTGCGGTGCAGCTGATCCTGAACGCGGCTGACCTTGGATGGTGCGCCAACTCAGGTCTCGTGCCGCCCACGACGCTGCCTCCGAACATTGTCCAGTTTCGCGGCATGGAAAGACTGTACCCCAACGAGATTAACCCCCTCAAGCATTGCGGTAGATCAAAAAAAATTTATCAAAAATCAATTTTTTTTACAATTTTTTTTTTAACTCTTCAGGCCCTTTGTTGAGTGGATTCCAAACTGGGGTGCTTTTTGTGTCGGCAATGCACATCGGCTGGGCAATCGCTGTGACCTCGATGCCACCCCCATTCCCCACTGATAAGAGGGCCGCCGCCATCACAGCCTCGATTTGGTCCCTTTTACGGTCCACCAGTCTTGTCGCCGGCACTATCGGAAACTTCCTCATTGCAGGTGAGCAAACATTTTATTATCTTTTGCCAGGCGAATCTGATGATTCGTCAGCGGCCGCATGTGACACGCACATGACATAAAATTCTGACGAGAGATGCGGTTCTTGTTTTAACGTCGCATTTCTCTCTGATGCAGATCTTATCACTCTCTTTCAGAGGAGAATTGGCTTTGCCGTCTGATTTGATGTCCTCGTATTTGACGTTCTCTTTTTTTCCCTCCAAAAAATATCCATAAAGTAACTTAATAATTCAACTCAATTCCATCAGAATTTTTTTCTAAAAAATAATAAAATTATAAAATTCATGAATTTTGTATGAAATTTCCAAATTAATCATTAATTAAAATATACAAAGAAACATATTATATGGTGCTATTTATGATGTCATTTATTCTAAAAATTTAGATTATGTATAATTCACAATATAAATTATATATTTTGGTTTGAATTGTGGTTTTAACATTTCATTAGAGACCAGTTCCACGCCTATGTAATACGCCAAAAGAGGACCGCCCTAGTTGGTTTCCTGTTACCACATTAAGCTAACAATAGACTGCTGGGCTTCCCATTCATTCAACACAGCGGCACGCTTATTTGTGCTTGGCTTAGAACTTAACTGCGTGTGTTAAAATTAATCCGGTCATATTATAATAAACTGTATAGGAAAACGCAAAGCATTTTCAGTGAGTAAAATCTTAAATACAGCTTCTGAACTGAAAAATCAAAATATAAGTTCAAAAAGAAGCGAAACAAACGTAAACGAAAATAAAACTTGGCAATAAGCGGTAGTAATTAGTCAAAATTAAATTATCCTATTTTAATGAACAAAAAAAAAACAGGGGATCTATAAATAAATATCCAAATCACATCAGAACTTGTAATACCAACCACTAAAAAAAGTAAGTGGTAGAAAATTATAAAAAAAAAAATAGCTATTTCGCACTTATAAGGGTTGAATTTCAATTCAGCACGTCAGATCACAACTATAATTTATTTTTTGTTAATTTTTAAATTATGCATACCACTTTCTAACTTTTGAATTTACATCTCATTTCGCAACACACTTGTAAGTAACATGGTTTATTCATTAAGAGATCTGAGCCATTTATTAAAGAAATTAATTTGAGGATCAAATAGAAATGTCTCTATCTTCTTCATAAATTGCAAAATGGAGTGAAAAAATTTCCGAATAATATAAAAAGTCAATTTTTTTTTGGAAAATTTTCTTGCAATTTACTCACCATTGCTGTTTTTCAATTGTAATAAATTTATTTATTATATATGTTATATTTGAATTTTTGTTTGTTCTCAGGTTCAAGATCAACGCTCGTGTTCATGGCGGTGGGTGCCGGAGCGCCTCCGTGGATAGTGCCAGTGGTGATGGGTGCGTGGCTGGCGATAAGACTGACGGTGCAGCTGGGCATGCACGCGTGGGGCTCGGCGCCGATGCCCAACCTGGCCGAGGCCCTCTTGTCCACCGTGGCGGTGCCTGTGGCAGCGACTCCTCGCCAATTGGGCCGACGGTGCCTCTTAATGGGCATTCAGAACGTGGTGGTGCTCACGACGGTGGTGCTCAAGGCGCGCAACAAACCCGACATGCTGTTCACCACCTACAGACTGGCTGTGCTGCAAGTGGTCGCTTTCTTCACTGGAATTATTTTCCTGCTCGTCAGAATACGATGGGTCGACCCTTCCAAGCCGTTGGCTGAGGGAAAGTGTTTTCATCACAGAACTGACTTGCATGACGACGCATGATGAATTATAATAAAATTCATTGCAAGCATTTAAAGAAATGTAAAAATAGAAAATGTTATGTGTTTTTTGCTCCAGTATGCGATGTAATTGTAATAAATATCATAAATTATTGAAATTTTGTTAATAAAAGTAAAGCGTTTTCTTTTGTGATATTTGCAGACACACTAATCTAGTATTGAGCATAATCATACAATCATAGATCATCCAAGGCTGCAAGATTCTCTTTGGTTTCACGGAATGTTTTTTTTTTTTTTTTTTTTTTTTTTAATTATGAGACGATTAATAATCTTATAAAATGAATTTGATTTTTTAAATTTCTTAAATCATCCTTAAATGAATGTGGAAACTTTTTACATTTTTACTCGCCTTGCAAATAAAGTGAATTCATAAGAAAAATAGGTAATTATGTCACCTTTTATTTGATTCAGTTCTGCTCTGCATTAAATAATGAAAAATATTATGGAAATTCGCACATTGAGGCTCAGGTTTGATAGACAAAAATAGCTCTTCACTGGTTACACTTTTTACGCTGTATTATATGAACAATAATTTATATAAAAAAAATTAATATTAGATACATCACCTAGACAGTTATGATATGTTCCTAAATAAACGCTGAAGAAACAAAATTTATTTATCAAACTATTTATTAAATTTTTAAAATATATTTAAGTAAAAAGACTAAAGTTTTTAAAATAGTTTTTAAAACCTTTAAATTTATGCCTAATAATATTTTTAATAAAAATTATATTAATTTTTTTTTTAAATTTATAAGTCCAACCAACTCTGAGCGTAGTTACAGGCCGGTGCAATTCTATTAATTTATTTACGGATATAAGTTAAAAAATCATTTAAATTAGTTTTGTTAAAAGTGTTACTTTTTTATAGAAAAGTGCAACATGATTTTTAAAAGGCCTACAACATAGAAGCAGTTTCATGTAAGATAATTTGTCTAAAAAAAGTTCTAAATTTTCATTTTAGATGTTTTCAGTATAATTTTAAATTTCCACACTTGACAAAATGCAAGAATTTGTCATATCTCTTGGTAAATTACTTGGCTATGGGTTTTAGTGCGTTTTATTCACTAGAATTTTGTGCCTATTTTGCTCCCAACCAATATTTTATTATTGATGATGGTTATGAATTTTTTAAATAAATATGAAACTATTTTTTGTGTGAAGACATTAATACTGTTATGTGAGGAACTGAGGACTTTTTGCCAGCAGGTCAGAAATGTTTAGTTTATACATAAAGATTTCAATTTCATTTTCATTTTGTTTAAGAAAGGGTAATTAGATGTTTTTATATTATAGCTTATCATCTTCTGATATTTAATTTAAAAAAAAATGCGGAATTCATTTAAATAAATTAATTGCAAAAAAATTTACAATTCTATAATTTACTGAATATGGGCAGCAATTGCCTTTGTGATAGATCAATAAACACAATTTGCAACTAAATTAGTTCATTAGTTATAAATTCAACAATATGTTATTTTTTGCGTCTTGTCCCGTGATTGTCAAATCTATGGCACTATGTCACAATATGTTACAGTTTTTTCGTCTTATTTACGTGACACCAATTAACTATCAAAAGAAGCGGAAAACGTTGGATTTTTCTAGGCTCCTTTTTATGTCAAAAACTAAAATTGAATAAGAAGGGCAAATAATATACGTCAAGCTTTTACGCATTTTACTCCTTCAAACAAGCTGAAGAGATTGGAACAATATTTCCTAGAAAATCAACACAATTAATTGCGTTTTTGAGCTGCGATGATTTGTCTGTCGTCTTGAAGGGAGATAATGATCCAACTTGATTGAATTACGGCCACTAGGTTGATCAAATATTAGTTTGTGTTGTTGGCCGACCGCTGATTACACCTACCTATAAGTATAAATGAGCGAGTGGCCGTCTTGGATCTTCCTCGTCTTCCAGTATTGCCATCAAGAGGTATATTTAACATGTGCTCGTCAGCCACAGTGATCACCGGCTTTTTGCTCGTCGCCTGCTTCTCAGGCATCACGCACTCTACCGAAGCAGAGGCCGACCAACAATTGGGTAAATATTTAATTTAAATCCAAATTAACCTGTAAAGAAGTTAATAATTATCTTTTATCAAATCTTCAAATAATTTTTTAATAAAAAAATCCAAGTTGATTTAAATTACTGGTAAATTTATCTTCCTTTCATTGAAATCTCTAATTTATTATTTTTTTCGAAAATAAATGAAATTATAAAGTTAGACTCAAAATGCTTTTAAAATATTTTGAACATTCATTATTTGATTAAAGTCTTTAAACACTCAATTATGAAAATAAAATAAAATAACGCCAATGGTATTTTTTAACAGACATAAACATTTTTCACAATCTGAGCCAAAACACGTAACACTAACGCTCATTTTCATATTTACAGAGCAACCCGATGAGCTAAATTCAGATTGGGTTGGAAGCCAACTCTTCCGAAAACCTCAAGTGGACGGAAAAATCGTCGGCGGCACTCCCGCTCAGATAAAAGACTTCCCTTATCAGGTGCATATTCTTTCCGATTCCGTTTCGAAGATTGTTATCTAACTGATCCATAATAATTTTATCATCAAAAGTTGTCCCTGAGGTACCGAGGAAGGCACATTTGCGGCGCCTCAATAATCAGCTCCAATTTCGTGATCACGGCAGCGCATTGCATTGGAGGGTAAACGGAATAATCCGCTCATTTGATTTTGGGTTTGATTGTGATCTAATTTAGCGAGAGGGTCCCTTCGAGGCTGAGTTTGAAAGCAGGATCGTCCAATTTGTACACAGGCGGCACCAAACACAGCGTCGTGAAGATCGTCGTCCACTCGCAATACACGGATTTCTCGGAAGATTACGACTTGGCTATTTTGAAAGTGATATATTTGATTGAAAAATAGTCTACAAAAAATTAAAATTGTTAAAATGCAAAGGTTCGGGAGCCGTTCAAAGCATCTAATTCAATCAGTTTGCCACAATCAGGAGCAGTAATTGAGTCCGGAACTGTGGCTATTGTGACCGGATGGGGAGTTACAAGGGCAAGTTTTTTTTAATGATTTAAATCCATTTTTATAAAAAATTTAATATTTAATACACACAATACTTGAATAAGTTGAAAATAAAATCATTATTTTTTAATTTTTTTTTTTTTGTAAAATTTCAGGAGGGAAGTATTTCTCCAGCTTTCCAGCTACAATCGGTTTCAGTCCCCATTGTTGACAATGTCGAGTGCGCCTACAGCTACATTGGCTACGGAGAGATCACTCAGAGAATGTTGTGCGCTGGCTACAAACTTGGCCAAAAAGACGCGTGCCAAGTAAAAATAAAAAAATCAATTGATATTTGTAGCACTGACACTTGATGTTTTTCATAGGGTGACTCAGGAGGTCCTCTCGTTGCCAACGGAGTGTTGGTCGGCGTCGTGTCTTGGGGTGCAGGATGCGCCAGACCCGGTCTTCCAGGTGTCTACACAAATCTGGCCGACCCTGCCATGAGGGCCTGGATATCAGCGAATGCAGAGGGACTGTGATCTGATTAGCTTTTTTGCCCCAAATTACCGATTGCGTGAAATTAGATTAATTGGAATATTATTGTAAAAGTTTTGTGGTAAAAGTACTAAAAATGAATTTTTACTTAAATAAAAAGAAACAATGTAATGAAGAAATTATTTTATTTTTATGCTCAGAATAATAAAGGATTTAAATTAATCTTGTAATATTTAAAATAAGAAGAAAATTTTTTTTATGTATTATAATTTTTTTCTTGATTTTTTTCCTTAAAAGGAAAAGTCAATTTATAAACTTTGCTTTGGCTAGTGCAAAATTTTAGCGGCCGCATTTATCAACATAAATCCCCTGACACCAATTTGTCGACCCAATTCGCCTGCTCCATCGTATTATAATCTCAACTCTGCCATTTACCGAGCAGCTCTGTTTGCAAATCTCTTGATAATGAAGTTTGTTTCGTGTCTATCTTGCGCGACTCGTCCAAGCACAATACACACCAGTCAAGAGCAACACCGCGAATAAACAGCAGGGAGAGAATTAATTCAGCGCTATGATATGCAAGTCTCTGAGTGAGCAAAACTTGCTGGTTTAAAGGGTGGATTTCGCTATGTGTGTGTTGGGGACAAGAGTAAGTTTGTTCCTTTCTTGTGCATTGTGTGTTTCCACAAGATTAAGTCGCCGCCCCGTGAACGAGTCGCGAGAGCGCGCCGAGCGACAAACGTGTATTTGTGCAGCAGCGTGGCGCCCTCTGCTCGCCGCAAACATGCGCCCCACGTGCTGCCAAATCAACCCCTTCTACACCCTGGTGCTCTCTTCGCGTTCGCCAGTCAGTCGCTTACGGAGTGCCGAACGGGCAACGCTTGCTCTCTCGAAACCGCTTCTTCCGCGCCGGCAAAATCATCGCATCCACCACGTGCGACCACCCTCTTTGCAAGTGAGTAATTTTATTTTATTACTTGTCTTCTTCTTTTATTAATCTACTCAAAATTCCTGAAAATAGAATTTAAAGATAAATTAAAATAAAAAATTAGTTGTTAAAAGATAAAAATAATTGCTCAGCAAACGATTTAAGGAAGGCACTTCTAATTTCAAATTGCAAGTGTTTACACAAAGCTTTCTTTATGGCTTTAAAAAATTTCAAAATGTAAAAATTAAAGATTTTTATAGTCTCTAGATCTTTCCACATCTGCCACGGTGCCACGTAATGTTACAAAATCGATGAGAATCATGAATACTACTATCGATATTTAATTGAATATTTCAAAATAGATGACAGAAATATGTCGCCAGTTTGTTTCTCATGCTGGAATATAATTGGTGAAAAATTGCGTGAATGTATTTAATTTACACAACCAAACGCTTGCTTATAAATAATGGCACACGATTTTGGTTGGCATTCTTGTCAGTTCGCAAAATTTAAATGTCAAAGTTCTTTACATTCGATATCAATACATATCAAGAAGATCTGACTTGGAGCATTATTTTTGTATTATCATATTATTATGCGTATTATGTGAATAAAAGGAAGAAAATCAATTTAGTGCTTTACGTCCAATTTTAAATATTCTTTCAAGGAACATTTCATATTATAAGAGAGATCACAACTCTATGATTATATGATCCAGTCCTTCAAAATTATTTGTTTCCATCTGCTTTTGAGACTTGTCTTGAGGGCATCCCAAGTGATTATTTAATCTAATTTACTTAAATTAGGCCCTTGAGGCCCATTTAATTTTAAAAAAACTTGATGAAATATTTATTCTTCCAAGGGCCCTCAGTCCATACTGCAATGGAAAGTTTTAAAACTAAGAAAAATGAAATTGTTTTATAAAATATTTTAATTTCCAATTTAAATTTTTTGGCTCCACTAAGTGTTATTTAAGTGTACGGTACGCTTATTGAAAAGGTTAAAGAGCAGCTCTAATGATTTAAATGATGAAATTAAAATGAAATTGTTAAAATTAAATAAGCCAAGCCACCAAATATGGAAGGGAAATAATATAATGAAAAAATTTTCAAAATGCTTATTGATTAAAGCTTCGATTTCTCAGTTCTTATCTAACAGGAATTATATAATTACAAATAAATTTAAAGAGTTTTACGTTTGGGAGAACCTTTGGAAAGATTCTTATGTGATTTTTTTGTTTCATTTTTGAACAAAAAGCTTGTGGGATAGCACAATATTATTGAAAACGCAATTTCCCGGTTGTGCCCTCTCTCTCACTCATCCAATTCCATCAACCTTTGAGCCCTTGCAACGAGCAGGTGTGTAGAAATCCAGGAAAATTAAATTTTGAAGATTCCTCGTCAAATCAGAACGATCCAGCGCGCAAGCCGTAAAATCGGAAATAAAATCCATCCCTTGAATCTTTTGGGGGGGGGGGGGGGGTGAATTTCCCGCATTTTGAAATGCAAAAAGGGTCGTTGTTGTGTGCAGTAAAACGAAATGCGTTTTTCCCACCGCACGGCCCCAAAGGGTTGTCAGGATAGCTTTTAAAAAGCAATAGCCGCAAAAAGCTCGTTCGGAGTGTTTGCGTGCATTTTTCCTCGTTTTAATTCGAAGTCTTCGGGGGATCGGCGCGCTTTTGACTTAATTAACGTCGGATTAATTATTCAAAGCTGTGCACTAAAAGGCTGACGGCGCTTCCTGTATATGCTCTGCTTTATTATTTCGCTCATTATTTCGATGCAAAAGGCGAAAATAATATCGATCTTTACGGAACATGTATGTGCTCAACAAAGCTGCTCAGCGAGTTAAAAACGGGCACACAGGTATACCTGCTAGTTTTCAGTGCAATTATTCTGCACCACCTCATTTGTGCCCGACGCCGGCGTGAAAATAATTGCTTCGTTCCGTGCACTCGGCACCAGAGAATACGGTCGCGCAAAAAATTCATTTTAATTGAACAAATTAATGCAATCTCTTGAACTCTCGACTAATTGAGTTAAAAATGCACACCGCGTTTCTCATTTGCTACTCTCTTCTCTACGTGCATCCGTCATGAATGCTGCCATGATGTGAATCTTGCTAATTTATTCTTGTCAGCAGAGTGGAGCGTGAATTTTTCATGCTCAATCAAGTTTCATCTAATGAAAAGCTCTTACTTAGTTTTGAAATTTGCGCATGCACTTTAATCATAAAAAAGGTTTATTTTTTAATCCCATTTATGCTCAGAATATTATACCATAATCATCATTTCCTTTGATGCGTAGAAGTATTTTATTACTTTCCTGGAATTTTTCAATTTTTTTAAAGGTATAAATAAAAATTAAAAATAATATAAGTATATTAATAAAAATAATTATAATATCAGAGTTTGCGTACATTGATTTATGCCGATTGAACCTAATTAATCCAAATAATGCTTTTATAATTTCAAATTTTTCGTTCAATATTAAACTTCTAAAAGGATTTTTAGACCAAATTTTGCTTTAATCCTTTCATCCTATTTTATCCACCGTCAATTTCCTAAAATTGTCAAGAAATTATGTCACTCAAATTTTTTTTATAAGAAAATTTATTCTAGCTGAAACTGTATTTTTCTCGTAAATTTAAAAAATTCAATTAGTAGAAAAGAAACTATTTTTTTCCTTTTTTTCCTTTAACTTTAGAACACAACATATTAGTTTCAAAGAAATAAAATAATATTTAAAAACAATTTTGTATTAAATCAATCTGCTTCAATCCAAATTTAATCAAGTAAAGACAAGATGTGAATTTATTTGAAGATTGGAGCATAAATAGTGCCATAATACTCTGCCAGCCCCATCGATGTCATCCGCCTGACCCTTCCTTCCCTTTCTCTTCCATGATGCGATGCCGAGCCAAAAATCAGGCCAAAATTTACAAGCCGTTGAAGTGGCCAAAAGTCGGCCTGGCCAGATTTTGCGTCACCAATATCTTTTCGCTCCACTCGCTCGTCGGCTCTCAACGCAAAATTTGTGTGTTTAAATTTGCGACGGCGTCGACGGGAGAGCGTGTTCGGGGCCAAGTCGTGCGTGGAATTCCATCGGTGGGGTGAGTGTGTATTCTGATGAGGGCTCAAAGCTCCCGGGGACAAACACACACACGATCATTATCAGATGATTACAATTTTATGGCCCAATCTGTGGCGAAGTGTGCCGGTGGTGGCGTCAAAGCCGATCATACATTTGCTCCCTTAACAATCTCGTGCCTGCTAAACTGACACCGCACACGTGACCTAATCACTTTCTGATCGCTCTTCTTTCAGCTCGCGGTTTTTCGTTGATCATTCGACTCAAAAAGCCAAAGTGAAATACAATTTTATTTTCAGCTGATAAAAAGTTATCATTTAATATTTTTTTTACTTTTTCAATATTTATTTCTGATCAGGGTAATGGGTATGGATATTTAATTTTAACCGACCTGAAATACCCGCGCCCACTACCCACCTAGGCTTGACCCACTGTCACGTACTGAGCACGAGTTGTTACCCATTAATGGGTTCCCGATCTCGCTGATTTTTTTACCCTTCTGCCAATTTAAGCGATACCCACACACTGCCCACGCCCTTAAACAAAACCAACCATTCTCAATATTAATAAATAAAATCAATGTTTCCGATGGTGCTTATTAATATTTAGTTTTTAATTTGTTAATTTATCTTTCAAATAATGCAAGTGTAACAAAAACACATGTTTTTAATTTATTTCAAATCATTTCAAGTTTAATTTATAATAAATAAACCCACGCCAAATATTTCCACACTTTTTACTCTTGAGAGTTGAGATTTAAATTTAAAGGTAGTTCGGGCCGACAAGCTCTTCTTTGATAAAATTATTTTGATATTAAATTTAAATGTAAAATTTGCAAAATTGCATTTCCTCTATGCATACCGAATGTACTGAGTGTGTTTTTAACTTAATTTCAACAATTTTCAACCCGATTCCGATTTATATTAAAATTTTATCTCAACTGGGGATATAATTGCCATATTTTGAGTGACAAATTATATCCGATTAGCATATTATCAATTCCCACGAGGAAGTTTTGCAATGTTCGAAAACAGCAGCATCTGCATTGTTGACTCATTATATTGCACACCGTGCACAATTCAATGTGTGCACATTTAATTAAATTAACCGTGTCGCCACAGAGGAGCGACACGTGTGCCGTCGAATCCCCAGCAGAGTCTCATCAAAAGTTTCGCGATCATCGCTGGAAGTTTTGCTCGAACATTGCCATCTGCGCGACAATTATCGCCAAATCCAATATTATCGCACCTGCTGCTGCAGTCTCGGAAATGGGTCAGATGGTGGTGCATCCAGCATCGGTCGTGCTGCGGCCGACACGCGCAGAATTAAATGCTTGAGTCGGGTCGCAAAGGTGGCACCCGACGATTTGTCATGCACGACCTCGTTATTAATGTCGCAGGACAACGAAGCGTCGCGATGATCCGCCGCTCGGACAGAAATTAATTTTTTCTGTCTTTGCATGTGGCAGCGTCGGCAGCGACGAAGGGTCGTGACGGCCGTGGAAAAAAATGGTTCGAGCGCGGCTTACGCACCCTTTTGCATTCATCATCATGATTCTGCAAACGAATTCAGACGCGAAACTTTTTGCGCTGAGTCAAAAACTACTGCTCCTTTGTGCGCCTGTGTAGTCCTAATCCTCTGTCATGCAAAAAAATTGTTATAATTTGCAATCTGAAGCATAAAAATAAATTATGCGCACTGTTAAACAATAAACGTGCCAGAGAACTTTTTTTTAGTTTAAGGGTGTAAATAATAGAAATACATCTCAATAAATCAAACTGATTAATTAAATGTTTAAAATCATTTATATTAATAAAAACGATTAGTTTAAATTTATTTAGTTGCCTTACTTTGTAAAAAAAAAAAAAAATATTTAATGTTTATTTTTATATCTAAAATATTCGTTTTAATAAATGCATGAACTGGAATATGTTTTTCATTAAATTATTCTTTACATTATTAACAATTACCCCCTTTTTTGTAATTTTATGTTAATAAATTTCGCAAGTCTTTTGTTTGTTTCCAAATATTTTTAATTTTATTAATCAAGTTCATAATTAAAAATTTAATAAATTTCAACTGTTAAGTGACTTGGAAGGCGGAATGTACTTCAAGTTCTCTTTGGTCATAATTAATTTGATTAAATGATGCAATTTAATTTAGTATTTATAAGATTTTCCATGAACTGAAGGTTGAAGCAAAACATTACCATTTTTTTCTATAAAGTTTCATGTAGAGTAAGTAGTGTATTATATAATTGAAAGAAATTGACTTATTTAAAAATTTTCTTTTGCAAGTTACAATTTTACTGTCAATCTGAATTTATGTATTTATCATTTGGATTGTTGTGTTTCAGCCAATGGCCAGACGCGGCCTACAGGGTGGCGCCTCCGCAGCTGCCCTTGGACTCGGTGATCGAGGATGACGAAAGGCTCATGTTTGACATGGAACACCATTTGCGACACTGTCCCTGCGACTGCGGACACATCGGATATGACGCAGCGCACCGGCACAAAGTGAGTCGGATTTTAATCTTTTCCGACGCGTGTCCACTTTCTCAGCTTATTTCCAGCCTGTCTGGATTCCGCCAAATCACTTTGCTCGCTTTCAGCCTTTCTGTCGGCTCACAGAACACAAAGCCGGAAAGCTTTTTGCGACTTCTCAAAAGTTCCAGATTAATTATCATTAGGAGAGAAAGGATGAAAAACATACGGAAAATCAGACAAATAAAAAAGCTGTACAAAGTTGAAATAAACGAGTTTTGTAACGTGCAGGCCGGCATTGGTAAAAAAGAGTTGGTTCTTCTCCCCTTTGAAAAACTTTTGCTGCTTCGTAAATTTTTTATTTTAATCTGCGTTCATTTCTACTCTTCTCTCATTCCGACTCTCGCTCTGGCCAAGTCGGAACAATTTCCAATTTCATTTTTCAACATTGGCCAGCGCCCTTCGCTATGTTTGCTTTTGGCGAAACTGCACTCATTCTGCCAGCAAATATTAAAAAACCTATCTCCTTCTTATATCTCTATATTTCTAGTAGGAGTCAACTATACATAGAGGTCATTTATGACATCGTGGTAGTTTCTAGTCTGAACAAAAATTGCATGCAACATGTGAAGCTCGCCGGCCAGCTCCACCACAGACTAATGAAAACTAAAAGTTCTCTCTCTCTCTGACCGCAATAAGGCAATATTCACTCCCATATATCGCACTCTCGGATGGACAATTTTTTCACAGTTCATCAAGTTTTTCGAGAGTGCGGTTTGCGAATTAAAACCTCGCGCGTGTCACTTTTATCCCCTGGCCCCGCTGGCAAAATTCGCTCCCATTTTTGCCAATGTGCGGTCGGCGTGCCATTTAGCTTCATCGCTCGAAACCCCACGCTCGCAAAATAATCCGGGCAAAATACACACAAAGGCCTAAACTGAACGCAACACTCGTTCCGCGTTCATTCGATTAAAGAATTTCTGCCGCTGATCGAGCGCAAAACGCGGTGAATTCGCGATTCGGGATTAAAACGAGACCCTAAACCACGCGATACAAATTGGAAACAAATCAGAGGTGCATGCACAGTGAAAAAGGAATTAGTGAATTGTTAATCCCAATTGGTATACATGAATGATTCTCTTAAAATATATCAGCAACCCTGTATTTTTGCTTTTCAATTTTCAGAATTTAAATTTTAGCTACAAGTATTCAAAGTATTTCTTGGGAAGTTAAAATGTTTGCAAAATATAAAATTAGTGAAGTACGTTTAGAAATTAAAAATGTGTGATTATTTTAACGTGAAAAAACATCAATAAAGTATAAATAATTTCAATAATTTATTGACTAATGCCGGTAATAAATTTTTTTTGCAATGAAAAATTAGAAAAGAAAAGAATAATTATTTTTATTTTCTCTGATTGACAAAGGTTTTTTTTTTAAATAATAACGTAAAATTAAAAGTGCTACTGCGTGTTTTATTCTTGTTATACATTATTATGTAATTAATTATTTTGCACGAGTGGGCCCTACACGGAATGCTATATCGGCGGTTTTAATATGAGGTTATTTTAGTCGCGGAATGCAAATTTGGCTGGGCATATTTGCGTAGGTGTTACCTTTTCCCTCGGAATTTGTTAAGGAATTTGCGAGCTATTCACGTTGTGCGTTCTTCTCGCCGCTTCCAATGTCAGATTGTCAGCCAAACCACCCTGCTCGTGCAGAAGAAATATTTGCTAACAACAAGGCCTGGGTTTATAGAGAGCACCGCAGCGCTTCTCCACATGGAAGAGCGAACATAAGTCAACAACCCTGGTGGCTTGTATGGTGCAGATCTATATACTAATCAATCAGTCTCGTCAAAGTGTGAATTGTAAAATTATCCCGACTGGTATGGTGATCAATTATGATTTGCTTTAAATTCGAGAAAATATTAAATTCACATGGAGATTCGCTATAATTCGACTTTATTTATTTAATTTATTATACATTGCATGTGCACTGTCCTTCTATAATTCAAAATTTGGGGGAATGGGAGTGATGTATAGTAAAGCAAACATTATTCTTTGGAAATTATAAAAAAAAAAATATTTCATAATAATGCATTGAAGCATATTGTTTTAAAAGAATTTTCATCAGATAGCAAAATTAAGCACATGTCATGCATGAATAAAATTTTTATAGAAAGTCAAAATTTGATTGAATAACAGAGGTGCGTTAATTAATTCCTGGAGACAATACAATGCACAATTCAGCAAGGAATTTCATTCCGCTGCAACAATTTTGCCACTTCTGCTTGTTTTAGCTTTCAAAAATTCAAAATTCCATAAACAATGGTCAATTTAACATAAAGATATATTGCAGAGCTCAATTTATTGTTGTGTTATCAAAAGTTTGTTCAAGCATAATATAAGCTAACAAAATAAAAAATGTGAGCCAATAAGTGCTTCTCATGTAATAAAAAGTTTAAATCTGCTTTATATTCAAATATGGATTACTGTTAATTCTTCAATCAAGTGTCAGGAGAAATAAAAGTGAATACTTCTAGTAAAACATTTTACAACAAGGAGTATCTGAGACTTTTGATCATGAAAACAACAGAATCACTGTCAAATGAAGAAAATTGAAAAATCTTATCAATGCCGGGCTCATTCAGCTCATAAACCTTCTGTTGGCTTGTTTTGTACTTGCTGCTGTAATAGCAAAATTCAAAACCCTTGTTACCTATAATCTTTATGGCGATGTCTGCTCCTTTCGGCACTAGCGTGGCAGCAGGCATCTCGAAAAGCACACTAGAGCCAGTTACATACTCGTCTTTTGTGTTCAATTCGCCGACCCAAATAGCATCAGACAAATTTCCACAGCATCGGATTGAGGCAAGCAATGTGAAATTTTGCTGATAAGGAACGCTTCCGTTGTAAAGTCTGTGAATTTGATTGATTAAGAATTATGAAGTTATCAGTTTATTGAATTAAATATTAAAAATCTTACTGATCAATGCCAGAAGTTTCGCGTGTGTTGAAGTCGTACAGAAATATAGCACTGAAATTCAATGCACACAAAATGTCAATGCCATGAAGAAGGATTGATTCATGTGCCGTAAATGACAATAAAGTCCGTTTAGCTTTGACATCAAGCTTTGTACATATTCCAGGATTCTCCAAAATCTGTTTGGGGCTGAGAGGATCATAGTCAGCAATGAAAGTGAGAGTCTTGATGTTGGATCTTTTCTTCAGTTTGGGACACAAAATGGTATCAGCCTTTTGAAAGGAAAATAAGCAGGCCTTCTCCTCAGCCGTCAGCCACTCAGCATTCATCAACTGGCATTTCTCAGCATCAGTCAGGAGGCAAAAGAAAGGAAAGGCAGCTTGAATGAAAGCCCTTTAAAGTGGAAGAAATTTCAGTGTCAAGATATTCTCTTTGCAATATGGTTTAATTTGTCTTACCTCTTCTCACCGTCCTTTTTCTTTGAGTTGTCGTTATTGGCAAGTTTGGCACAAGCTTCAATAAGATCCAGTTCTGACTTGATGTTCATTTCCTCCAAGGTGAGAAAAGTTTGCAGTGCACTTAGCCCAATCTCCAGAAAGGTTTGGTGCTCCAGGCACTCCGTCGTCCGCATACTTAACATCTGAAAATTTTCTCTCATACAGTCATCGATGTTGATTATTTTGAACGAAACAAACCTTTTTACACGGAGTAGCCACAAAATCGATCATGTGATTTTGATCAAAGATCTCCCAAACTTTTTCAAGGGTAAGGAATTTCTCAATGCAAGCTGAGCTCTCTTCACCCAATTCACACATGAGAAATTCATTGGCCGCCCTGGCCAACTGCACGGCCGCCTCCAAATCGGCTACCTCGGTGAAAAGCTGAGAGAAGTGTGCAAATCTATAAATCATCAATTAATTTATTTTTCATAATGACTAATTATATTTATTTGACATACTCGATGACCATTCTGAAGATAGGGGGCTCAATGTGTTTGATCCTAATGGGCCCTGGTGGGGTCAGAGGGCTCCTGAACAGTGCCTCGAAGTACTCGCTGGCAGCCTTCATATCAATTTTCACGCCATGAATTTCCTATTAAGTTTTAATTTGGAGATTGAACATTAAACCATATTATGCTTATCACTTACACAAAAATTATATTAAATCTTGTATTTATGATTTTTTTTTACATAAAATTAGGTATGTACCTCTGCAGAATGGTCATGAGGGCCGACAAGGAAAACGCAGTCTGTCCCATCGCCATTTTCAAGGGCCCTCAACTTCTTCATCATCGCCTTGGACATTTTATTCTTGCGTTTGTCAGCGGCCTCATCGCCAGCAGCAGCCAATTTTTCATCCCGATCAGTCTGCATTATTGACAGGGAAAAAGGCCGCGATTTTATGAAATGCTCCTGCTCGCCTGCTTCTTGGGAAGAGAACAATAAATTAAAACAATAAACAGACGAATTGCAAAATGTCGACTTGACCTTGACACTACTCTCATTATGCACTGCGATAAGGAGAAGGCGAGAGGCGAGAGAGATGGATCTTTAGGAGAGGGTGAGGAGGGGGTGAGGAGGGGGGACCCCCTGTGCTGCCGATAATACATGTTTATTTTGTTTGCCATGTGTCTAGTTATGGTGTGCCTCGCTTTTCTGTCCAAAATTTGGTCGAAATGAGGGTTTTTCAGGCGAAAACGAGATAATCCGGTCCAGCCCGGCGACATGATCGGCCGAGGTCAATTCAAGCTTCGTTTTCGGCGAAAGCAGCAGGTTAGTTTCAATTTTAACCCACTTTTTTATTTATTCTTGCCAGAGAAGTATCAAATTTTGCAATTTATTTTTTAATTCAAAAAATGAATATTTCGATAATATGTAATAAAATAGCATCAAACTCATGCCAAGTGGTAGAAAAGTTCCAAATTTTTGCGTATTTGAAAGCAGTGGAATCTTAATGCCTGTTTCTACTTTTAACAACAGAAAGCCGTTGACAGGTTTTGCGACTTTATTTTGCCTCTTCATTCCTGTCCTGTTTCCTGTTTGCAAGAGAAAATCGTCTATCAAATTTTATTGGCTCAAAAAAGATGTGGGATGCATTTTATGCCTCTATATGACCTCAAAATAAACGCTTCTTTGTGTGTTTTTTTTTTTTTTTTTTTTTTTTTTTTTTTTTTTAATAAACGCTACGGGAATGAAAACAAATAATTATCAAGATACTTTTGTTGGGAAGAATAAAAAATTTCCAAAAACGATTTGAAGAAATTGATTGTAATTATTATCATGTTTATCAAATTTTATTATAACATTCTGTATAAATTGTTTATTGAGTATTCAGAAGAACACTCGCTGATGAAAATGATATTGTTTTTATATGAAAGAAAAAAAGGTAAAAGTTTACAAACTTTAAAGGCAGCAGGAATATCTCAAAGATGGCTACATTTTAAGGAGAAGTATAGCTTGCAGGGCATTTTGCAAGCTTTTCACAAAGTCTTTTCATCGACAACGCAAAAGTTTCTAAGTCTAGAAAGCAGACAATGAGAGCTTCAAGCCACCTAATTAGGCTGCTACAATTTTATCCGTGGAAAGAGGATCCACTTTTGAAATTCAATCTTCCTCCGCTCTACAAACAGAAAATTGCACTCGAACTAAATTTTCTTGCGAATTATGGGCGAAAAAGATGACGGGGAATATAGAAGACCCATAAAAACGTTCCCTCACGCCTCAGCGCCCTTTTGACAAATTACATCTTCACGCCTTTAAGGATGAGAGTCTTGAGTTGTACTATTTACATTCACACAGGCAAATAAACATTTCGCGCAATCACCAAAAAGATGAGATGCTTTTTTGTCGCGTCTTGCATTCAGACGCACCCTTTCGGAATAACGGCGCCAATTCAAGCTTGCATCGTCTCTCGCGCCTTGAATTTATTCAGCAACACCTTTTTCACGGGAAAATGACGCGTGCAAAACGCGTCAACATTTACTTGCCCGTCGATCGAGCAACACAAAACGTCCATTCACTATCGTTCGCTGTCGTCGCGCAAACCCTCGCTTATGCCGAAGAAAAGCAGATCGAGCCGTTTCGATATAAATTCAGGCGACGTGTTGAATAAACAGGTCGCAATATTCTGGTCGTTCGCATGTGAATTCCCTCTGCGCGCCAACATACAACCCCGAGTCGCCGTTATTGTCCCTAAATTTTTTCCCCCAAAACCAATTTCCTCATTTTCCCTAAAATCAAAACCCCTAAAATTACTTTCCCTACTCCCTACGTTAAAAAATTGGAAATATATCAATCTTTTACCTGAAACATGTATAACCAAGCAAAAGCTAATGTAGCCTTCTTTTGACCACCGCCGAGAAAGGTACGCTTAAAACACGAGTTTCAATATTCTGACGGAAAATATTTTAAAAATCAACGTTAAAAATTTTTGGATTAATTTGTCAAATGTTTTTATGCAAAAATTTTACTTTTAATATTTTTCAAATCATATTCTTTAATTCTTTATCAAAATTTCATTTATTTTGTTGTCATTCTATAACCATCAAGTCAAGTCTTATTGTTAGTCCAAATCTGAGTACAATAAAGATCTTTTCCAATATCACTTTTTTCCGAATATCCTTGCTGAATTTGCAAACTTCTTGAAAGCCAGCCAAGGCAATAATGACAAAGCATTTGTACAATTTTTCTTTCTTCAATTTTATGCAAATAAAATTTGCCCCAAGCCCCAAAATTGTTTCTGAGTATGGACTTTATAACAATCATGCAAGTTTTGAATTGTATTTTTACTTTAAATATTGTCTGTGAATTATTGGGAGAGATGATAATCAAAAATTTCTGCTTACGGAAACACAGCCCTGAATCCTGCAATTTCTTATTGTTTAGGGGAAATTAAGGGGAAATGGAGAAAAAATTTAGGGATAATAATTTAGGTGAATTACTGTAAAAATCTTTTAGGGGAAAAAATTTAGGGACAACAGGGGGCTCCCTACATCCCATCTCGTTTTTACGAGGGAAAATCTTATTTGGGCAATCAATAGCAGGCGAAAATTATTTTCCCCTCACAAATTTTTTACTCGGGAGTCGTAAAAAGTGTTTCGGGTAATAGAGACTCTCTCCTCTTCTTTTTTTATAAACGCGAAATAATAACGCTGCTTGCCGCGGCGGCGGTGACGCGACCGTAAAACCGCTGCTTTTATTACACGTGTGTGTGTCGACGAGAAATGTGTGCGTGGATATAAATAAGCGAAGGAGTGAAGTGCGCTCGAACGAGTTTGTATTAGCAAGTAGAGTGCAATCTTGGAAAGAAGTTGCCTTCATTTTGCGGTAACAACTTTGTTGTCTCTCCCAGGCCCAATCTTTTCCCAGCGCGCTTTGTATGCCGGCGTTGCACGTGACGCCTGTTGGTGCGAAAGAGACGAGAGAGGCTTGTTATTGCAAAAAGTTTCAGATGATGTTGCATATAAAGCACGTGAACTAGTTCAGAAAAAACACTAATCTCTTTTGCATTTAAGTCGCAATGTGGCTGCGGAATTGATAACGTTGCCGCGTTTTTTAGCCTCAGTCTAGATTCTGGATAATTATTCATCTTGTTATTATACAACAATTTATTCCGAAGCACGAAAATGTTTCAAGTCACATGAGATGTTAAAAATAAGTTGCAGTCAAATACAATTTTATAAAATATCAATTATATAAACAGTGTAAAATTTTATTTTTTATTAATATTTTTTAACATTATCGATTATATTGATATTGTAGTTGATTTTTCCTATTAAATTGTTACAAAAGAAAATGTACAACACACACAAAAATCATTGTTGGGTGGGAGACTTTTAACTGTTGGATAAAAAAGCAAGAATAAAGCTTAAATTTTCTGGATCACATACACTTCTCGAAAGGGGTAGTATTTTTTTCGTCGCATCATGTTTTTAGGTGTTAAAGAAATCAATTAGTTTTTACCACGGCTAAAGGGAACTAAAAACAGTAAAAAAATGAACACATTAAAAAAAATGTCAATTTTAGCATTTTTTTTTAGTGGGATTCGTAGGATATTCAACGAAAATATGGAGAACTTAGTTGTATTTTTAGATTTAATTAACTGCATTTTTGATCATTTTCATGGTTTTCTTTTTATTTCCCGATTTGTCATTAAAATTATTTATAAATAATTATGAATACTAAATGTTCACTTTGTTGCTGTCGCACTGTGGGATGCTGGATTAATCGTAATTGAGAGTAACTCCATTAGCCTAGATTTCCAGCACCGCAAGAGCCAGAATTTGCATGCGACAGTGGTAAAGTTGAATTGGTATTCAGAATCGATTTGATTAGTGCTATATGAGAGCGGTTAATTCCTGGGGATTTTGCACCAAGTTTGCGTTTTCAAATCATTAACTATAAAAACATTGAAAATAAAACAGGAGCGCTGTGGAATTGTGTAACTATTTATAACAGTGAATGAATTTCTTTTCACGCAAAAACAAATAACTTAATTGATAAACAATACAAATTTTAATGGATTTAATTGTTTTGAAGAATAATTAATTTTGCAAGACGATTCAAATGAAATCAGCAAATTAATAGGACGTCTTGTTACTTAATTTTTCTTATTAATTTCATGCATTTGTAGAGTTTTGCTGCTTCAAGCGTTTCAAAGTGAAAAAAAGTCGTGTCAATGGAGCATTTTGTTTCATCAAAAACTTTGCACGTTGGTTTTTTGAATTAAAAAAGGCCAACCGTACATGGCGGTGCTCGTAATCCGACCGGCGGCCGGTGTACAAAAATTTGTCGCAGGTGCGCTGGCCGCGTGGCGTGCGTATAAAAAGGCGGTTAGTGGAGAGGCCGGCGAAATTAATGCCCCCTGCAGGATTCGCAACTAATTCCACACATCCGGCCGGCCGCTGGGGTCTCGCTTGTGGTCAGACCGTCGCCTCGACTTTTTTTCATCCAAGCACCTTTTAATTATTTTGCTGCTCACAAAATTGTGCAAATCGTCGGTGTTGCATATAAATTCGCGAAATTAAATAATCCCAACTCGGCATGATTTTTGCCCTTTGATAAAATCTGTCTGCCGCGTCTGCGTTTTTATTTTTACGCCGCGGGTGATATCTTTGCCAGCTGCGCTTTTTGTAACGAAACGGCAGCACGTGCTAAAGTTGCGTCTAGCTTACAATTTGTTGGTCAGCAATGATACGCCCGGCATGAAGATATTTTTTATTGTTGCTTAAAAAGACGTGTTTTAAGTTTTTATTTTTAATATATTATTTTCAAGCACAAACCAGAGTGATAAAATTCATCAGAGAGGTAAACAAATATATATTTTAAGGCTGAAATTTCAAAACATTTAAATTTAAATATATATATGTCAATTTTATTTGGAAATTTGGGAATATTACAGATTTATTATAAGATATTTAAAAAAAATATGGCCAAACAAGTGCAAATTTTAAAATATTTGGTGCAAATTTTGGGATGAAAATAGTTTTACCTCTGCTATTTGTAGCCAAGGTTTTGAGCTGATTTCTCATCTCGTCTCCATGCATGCAAAATGCGAAAACACACGGCAATTTTAGTGCAGCAATTCGTTCGTGCTCGTTAAATTTGAGTTTCCATCTGCACATTCGCACGAGCTGCAGATGTAACGGCGGCCACCATCGCAGCCGACGGTTTTATAATACTTTTGAATTATTCCTCGAACTCGCTTTCAGCACCGTCCGACCATAAAGCATCTCAAATTACATTTCGGGTCTTAAAATAAAATCTTGTGAGAGCTGAGCCGTAAAGAAATTTCTCCGTCTTCGGGCGTGCTATGTGTGCGAAATTTAATTTAAAATTATTAATGGCGGGCGAAACTTTGCCGGAAGATAATCGTGCGTTGCGCGAGCGGCAAGGTCGCGTCGTAATTTGCGTTAATTCGACTTGTGCAGTGCACGCGGGCCCGCCGCATTTCCGAGTCGCAGAACGGAATTAGATTTGTGAAGTTATGCAACGTGGTTGGCAGCGACGTCGAGCGGGCTGCAGCCCTTTGTCGCCCACGGTTGAATTGGATTGGGCCTCTCGGCGTTTTGTTGCTCCAAATGAGCTCATTTCGCTATTCCGCGGCCGCCGAAATTGTCGCGTAATTTGCTGAAACCGACAATTGTGGCGGAGCGAAGTGTCGACCCAAATGGTTCCTCCGACCTTTGTTAATTAGAAAGCCCAATGTGGGGATCTTGCATGCAAATTTGACTGAATAATATTACGCTAGGCACACTATTGCAATTCGGAAAATTTTTAACAATGTTGAATTTTTTTTACAAAGTTTCAATCTTTTAATTACAAATTAATATCTGTAATAATCCTTATATTTGATTTTTTATGCTATTTATTTTAATTTATTTAAATAGTATATTTATAGATTTTTTATTAAAATATATTGGGAGATATTCACATGCTAAACAATACCAGCAACTCTCAAAAGCTAACTTAGCATTTGAATATCTCTCAATAATTTTATTAATAAATAAGTGTGAGGAATTAAGTGAATCATGAATTGCTTTATTAGGAACCTGAATTTAATCAAATAGGGGGGCAATGTGCAGTAGTTTTATAATTTCTATATATGTTCTAGGAACTTAATTATGAAATTTATTATATCAAAAATACTATAAAATTCTTAACTCTATTCTCTGCTCATGAAAGTCCAACTATTGTGAACTTTTGCTTTTTTCATTACGTTGAATTTTCACTTTCTTACAAGCCGCAGATAGCAACTCATCCATCAAATCCCGCAAAAGCAACATTTTTCCATTAGATTTACGTTTAACCGTCTTTCGCAGGCAGAATTTTTGGTAGATTCCACGCAACGACGGCGTCGCTTTCGCAAAACGCCACATAGCCCCACACATTCGCGTTCAAATGCATTATGCATGCGACAGCCACTTTCTTTTCACTCCTTTCCGAGGCGCGCAGAAAATAGAGAAAACACAAACAAAAAGAGTTCGTATCTCGCGCGCAATACCGCGAAAACCTTCACGATTACGTCACTCAATAAAAAGCGTGCGTAAATATTTATTTTCGCCCATTGAATTATTCATCGGTGCAGTTCCAGGTGGAGGTGGTCGACTGCTGCGAGGAGGGTTCGGACAGTTCCAGCTACGACGGGCCGCCGAGCCCCATCCCCCGGCTGCTGCCCCCAGCACCACCCTGCAGCAGACACCCCGATTCGCTAATCACGCCGAGCTCAGACAGCAAGAGTCCTGACAGCAGCAGAACTTTGGTCGTCTACCCGACCACCATTCCTCCAGGTAGGCCAACCCGCACGCAACTTTTCAGACACGCTAATTGTTTGTCGGGAGACCTTTTATCTTGACCCCTCTTGCTTTTGTTGAGAGTTTGAAAACGGCTCGAGTGAGGGTAGAAAGCGGCTTATTGGCAATTAGCCGCTAACAAGACTTTGCGTAGCTCTTGAGACTTTTTTACTTTTCCCTCGATATGTACTATTGCCAAACTTTTTCATTTAATGACTATACTTAAAAAAGCAGAGAAAATGGGCAAAATATTCCACACATTAATTTTAAGAGCATAGAGAGAACACCTTTTGTTACGCAGATAATTTGTTTGGCAATTGAAATTCACAACAATTTTTTCGGACGAGAGAATATAAAAATGCGAATTGAATTGTATTTTATTATCGCATGGAAATTCGGTGTTTCCATACAAAATTGTATGATCTATTACGGATTATTGAGTTTTTTGCAAGGATTGATGCGATCTTTTTTACCAGCCGTAAATTTTTGCAAGAACCTTTTCGTGGAACATTTTAGCGTATTAAAATCTTCAAATTTTAATATTATTGTTTGAAAAAAGAATAACATTTTTGCAGATTTATCCCAAAACTTACATTATTTTACATTTTTAAAAATTTTGTTTCAACATTTACTTCTATATACGTGAATACAAACAAATTGAATGTGTGCTTTATGACAATAAACGCCCCGAAAAACGGAAAAAAAAATAAGGAAAATGCTGACTGCCAATTCTAGAACATCAAAATTAACCTTTAATCGTTAATTATTCTTCTGAAAGATGAAATGGTTTAAATAAATATGTCAAATAAATTGTTTTGACATCGAGAAATTTTTGAATATGCTGATAAAGAAAAATATTTTCACTTTCATCCAATAATTCCACAAATTTAAATGCAATTTTTGTGCCACGAACAAATTTCAATAAGCTTAAAAGCCGAAAGGATATCTTATTTTTTTTTATAATTGCAAAGAATCCAATATTTCATCAAGTGGCAAGTTTTCAACACATAAAATAATGAAAACTGATCACCGAGAAATGAGTGTCACTTTCAACCGGACGCCATCATTCATCAGCCGAGGCATAAGCGCGAGGGAAATTCAAATTTTCCGAGCCAGTTAATGACGCAATTACATTAGCCGGGTGAATTAATAAATTGATGCTGTGGCACGGTAGCAGCAGCAGGGCCAAAGAGAGGCGTTAGTTGATTAGTTGGTTAGATTCGAACGCTGTCAGCAAGATAATAATCATGGCGTGTGATGCGTTTGCTGCTCGCTCGCTCGCTGCCAGGCATAAATTTTAATGATGAATGCCTAGGTGATTACATATGCATGATCTGGTTAACGTTTCACTCACTCAGCCCCCTGCATCCACACACCAGCCCCCTCTGCAACATAACAAACGCTGCGATAGGATTGAGCCTGAGAACTTGGAGCAATCCTGGGCGCGCGCGTCGTGCGTTATCAATTTGTTATGGCCGCTGTTTAATTGAGCCGCTAACTCATTTGCATGCGTCCCGCTGAGGGAAATACGGGTGCGGAAAGCGGTTTTACGAGGCGAGTGTTTAACGCGTGATTAGTGCAGAGGACGCTAGGCTGCCGTGCTTTGAGGAGAGATCACGGATGGCTTTGCTGTTCCTAAGATTTTGTCGGTGACAATAAAGTGAAACTGTCCTTCAGAAGTGAAGTCCAGTGTAAAAATCAATATTAAAATATGACATAATGACCATAAAATTGTTTTCCTTTAAATCTCCTCGCAACACATTATTTAGTTAAAATAAAAATAAAAAACACATAACTTTAAATTATATTTTTAATTTGCTAAATTTGTAATTTTTCTTTTATTGGTAGTTTTGTTTGTAATTAAATTTTTTTACGCATTAAAAAATATATTACTCTCCGTAATTATTATTATTTTTTTTTTTTACTTCATTTTCTTTTTTCTTAATTTTTTTTTGCTGTTATTTATTATTATATACATGACATGGTGGTATTATATCTTATTATTGGTAAATTTTAAACAAATATTTGGCTGTGTCCAAGTTATTTTCGTAATATTTTACCATTTGATGAATTGTGAAACAGATGAAAAGTAAAAAGTAATTTGGTTTCTGGGATTACAAGAATGAAGAAACCCGTGAACAAAAGCTGTTGAATAAGTTATAAATTGCTTGCAAAAATAAAAAAAATAAAAAATACACGGAAAACCTTTCATAACATTGTGCCACATCAACATGATATTGATAATAATTCCTTCTCAAGTGATTAGCAGTGGCTTTTGTATTCAATGTCCTTAAGCACTCCACTGGGAGGTTATGGCTATTGAAAAATTTTACTTTTCAATACTTAACTAATGATTTGTTCTTTGCTATAACTAAAGATTAAAGCCGAATTGAAACTTTATATATATTTAGTTTAAAAAGTTGATTATTCAGTACAATATTGAGGATAATTATTAAATTGATCCCAATTATTTTTATCATACATATTGAAAGCATATTGCTCTGGGTAAAAAGATTGATTTTTAAAGTTTAAAACATTTAATAGATCTGACCATCTGTTGCCATTCCACCTTGTTGGTTCATTTTCACTTTCCTTTAAATTTTTCCACTCATTGCACTTCTTGCCAGTGACGGAGATTTGAGCGACGGCGTGTAATATCCAAAATTTGATGTCAACCAGTCACGTCCGATTCAATTCCGTCGCCGAAAGTTAATGTATGGGAAGCAATTGCCGAGCATTTTTGTCGCCGGCCAACTTTTCCTGCGCGGCGAAAAGTCCGGAAAAGCAGCCGCTCAAAATTTGAATGGGAAACTTTTTGCCTGTGAAATAGAGGAGAAAAATAGTCGATTGAGAGCGTGGCGAAAGTTTGTCGTCAGGCCGAGGCGACCGACCGCAGAAAAGGGAAATTCCGCGATCGGCTTTTCTAATTACTTGCCAGATCCGGTGGAGCTTTGTTCGGTTCAATTGTTTTCCGCCGCTCGGTGCGACCGCGAATGATGCATGCTTTATTAAAAATAACGACCTCAAAGTTCATTTTTCCGCGTTTGTTGACACGAGGACAAAGTTCCTTTCGTCTAACGCGCGGAGAAAGGCCTCGGCAAACAGTCATTCTGCAAGACAAATAGTGGAATGAAAAAATAATGCCGCGCACGGTGCTCACCTGAGACTCGCAGTTTTTCATCTCCAACAGTGGCAGCGGAATTATATTTTCATTCTGAGAGAGCAATATTAATGTTATCTTTTGCTGCACCCCAGCTATGATCTTTGCATATCTGCAGAGCAAACAAAATAGAATGCAGAAAAAAGGGGTCGCTTTTATTTATTCACTTTTGGCCTGCAGCTTTTTTTTGTCGGATCAATGTTTGTGAGATTTTTCCAAGCTGCTTTTATTGAAATGATAATAAACAAAAGTCCCTTTTTTTCTTTTAAAGGGAAAAAAGTTTTCTTTTTTATATAAACAAGGAAAAGCCTAAAAGAGGACATGATTACAATTTAGAATAAAATCCAATTTTCGAAGCAAATATTTGGGGATGTATTTGACAAAAAATTATAACTGGAAAACGCTCAGGTGTTTATAAATGTTTGCAAACCATCAAAATTTTCTGGTATTAATCCATCAAAGTTATAGATGTGTATTTGCTAAACCAACGATAAACCAATTACAAGGGTAGCAAGCGTTGCGCAAATATTTAAATTAAAATTTAGCGCATATCAATCAAACGAGAAACACGTCACGCGCGCATGTTGCTGAATTCCTTCCAAAGCAGTAATTAAATTTTACGGGACGTGTGTAGCGTTTTTCTCTTGAATAAATTCGCACGTTCATTTTTTTGCTAGGACCGGCAGAGTTGAGGTAAAAAGATCTTTAGAAATAAAAAACGCACTCTCGACTCTGGAAAGATGAAAAGCGGAAATGAAAAATGATCACACGTGTGCAGTAGTCATTTTATAAATTTTTCCTGTATAGCTGAAACTTTTTAGCTTATGTCAGGCAATTTTTACACTTTTTCGAATAACCAACATTTCAAATTCATTCATCGATAATTTGTTAAATTAACCAACGAAATATACTTTTTTCCTTCTCTTTTCTCCAATACTAATTAATGTGTCATTTAAAATCAATTTTTAATATTTAACGTCTAAAAAGGCTTTTTATTATATGACTAGAGAAGGAAAACTCTGGCATTTATATTTTCTGCTTTTATAAAATTCAAAAGTGCCCAAATCAAATTTAGCTTTGACGAAAAAAAAACTGCGACACAAAAAGCAGCCTAATGCACGGAGATTCATGGAAATGGCAGCTCGCTAAAGTGCATTTGGATGCACATAATTGTCCTTTCTTTGGCACACAGTCGCTTTGTGTCTCTTTCCTTTGCACACTTAATTACACGAGAGAGCTGCTCTCGTAAAAAAAAACGCTGCTCACGCCACTTTGATATATGCAAAGTTAAAACTCTCAGCCAGCAGAACTCGGCTCTCTCATGGCGATTACATTTGCTCCGTTTCTCCGCTCACTTAATCAATAAGTTTCATTTTCTCTCTCACTCTCTCTTTTCGCAGAAGCCGAAATATCGACTGCGGATATATACTTCATATTTCACCAACACGATATATATATTTTTTTTTCACTCGGCGCTCTTTTTAGGAAAAAATATTCGCGCAGTCATCGCACGCTTCGGAAGTTGAATGCGTGCTTGATCGATGGCGAGACCAACGAAGAGAGAAAGAGAAATTCGATGCCAGGCCAGTTTCTCCCCGTATATTGATATCATCTTTAATTTAATACTCGCAGAGACCACAAACACGGACTGCTTTCTCGGGGGCGGCTGTCTGCAATCATTTCGCGAGGGCGGGCGGAAGAAACACACTTTTCCTTGAACTCGCAGCAGAGGCGTGTTCGTGGCGGATGACGGATTATTTCGCACGCGGAAATAAATTGCTGTGCTCTTTTGCAGCCGAACGTCGAATTGCTTAATTAAACCGGCGGGAGCTGCGAA